AAATTGTGTGTGAATAGTGCCATGGATAATCGTGCCTTTGGGGCCAGGCCTTGGCCTACTCCCCCTTTTTGTTTTTGTAAAATTTGTTTGAGGCTTTTATGAGCCCTCTCAATGATTTCTTGACCTTGGGGATTGTATGGGATACCATGTTTTAATTGAACCTCTATCATTTTGCAGAACTCATTGAAGGCTTTGCCTATATAGGCTGGTCCATTATCAGTTTTTAATATTTTTGGTTTGCCCCATGCGGCCCAAGCCGCCAGGCAATGATTGATCACATTAGACACTTTTTTACCTGTTTCTGCTGTTGCAAATATGACGTGAGAACAGGTGTCTGTGGAAACATGAACATATTTAAGAGTCCCAAACTCCTGTATATGTGTGATGTCTATCTGCCAAACATCACCAGGGATCAAACCTCGAGGGTTTACTCCCATCGGTATGGCAGGTTTGTATGTGGCACAGGAGTCACATAGTCGCACGATATCTCGTGCATCTGCTCTGGAAACATGGAAATGGTTTGCTAGTGTCCTGGCATTGACATGAAACTTATCATGGAAGGCACGGGCTCGCTCGATTGGTGTTAGTAAGGTAAAAATCTATAACGGGCGAGTGGCAGTATCAGCAGCCGCATTCCCCTGTGCCATAGGCCCTGGCAGGGATGTATGTGCTCTTATGTGGGTGGTGAAGACCTTATGGTGTCTGTTTTGAAGCAATGTCTGGATAGACAGGAACAGCCCAGCCACTGTGGAAGTGGATCTAATTAAACCGGCAGTCTCAAGCACTTGTATAGCATTGACCACATACCTAGAATCGGAGACAATATTAATGGCTTCTGAGAACCGTTTAAGAATCATTTTAACGATCTGCAGTTTTACCACCTGAGGCTGATCAGGTTCAAATTGTATGGTAACCGGGGGCTTGCCTAGGATCACATAGGCGCCTATCCCCGTCTTGGAGCCATCTGTGTATATTGTAGTTGCTGGGACTAATGGCTCAGAGGCAGTAACCTTTGGAAAAATTATAGGGTGCTGAGTGACAAATGACAAGATAGGGTCTTTAGGGTATTGATTGTTTATATCCCCATGGAAAACACATCTCAGAATGGCCCATGTATCTATGCAGGCAGCCAGGGTCTTGATCTGGCTGGCGGTATAGGGTACTCGGATGGCTTGTGGTCCTGAGCCAAAATGTTGGACAGCTCTATCATGCGCTTTAAGGGCCAATGAAGCGACTGCCTCCGGGTAATGCTCTATGACTTTTGCAGGTGAGACCTTAGGGTGTATCCACAGTAATGGTCCTTTCTGCCAAATCACCGCTGTGGGCTGTAGACTAGTCTGTAGCAAACAGACATCAAAGGGTCGCCCTGGTTTAATTCTGTGTAAGGTAGCCCCACCTAAGGCTTTTTTTACTCTCTGTAAGGCAGCTCTTGCCTCAGGAGTGAGCCTCCTGTGGGAGGCTATATCTGGGTCTCCCTTCAGAAGGTCGAACAGGGGTTTGAGATCTGAATTTGGTATATGTAAATATGGCCTAATCTAATTAATGTCTCCCAATAGTTTTTGCATGTCCTTTAGGGTCCTAACGCCATCCGTCCTAATGGTGACCTTTTGTGGAGAGACTAGCATAGGGGAGATTTTTGCGCCTAAGTAGGTCACCATTTTTCCTCCCTGAATCTTGTCGGGGGCAACATGCAGATTAGCTTGTCTCAGGGCCTCGACCAACTGGCCGAGCATATTATTTAGCATGTCTGGGTCCCTGCCGCTGAGCAAAAGGTCGTCCATGTAATGCACACATCTTATCTTGGGAAAGGATTTCCGTAGGGGGGCCAGTAGGGAATCAAGGTAAATCTGACACATAGTGGGACTGTTGGCCATACCTTGGGGCAGCGTTATCCACTCGTATCTGAGATCAGGGCTTTCTTGGTTAATGGTGGGTAAAGTAAAGGCGAACCTATGAGTGTCCTCTGGATGCAGGGGGATTGAGAAGAAACAGTCTCTAAGATCTATAACATAAACTGGCCAGGACTGAGGGATGGCTGAGAGAGCTGGCAGCCCCCTCTGGACCGCCCCCAGGGACTGCATCTGCGCGTTGACCGCCCTTAGATCATGGAGCAGCCTCCACTTGCCAGACTTTTTCTTAATTATAAAAATGGGGGTGTTTCATGGGGAGGTTGACGGCTTAATGTGTCCTAATCTAAGTTGTGCACTGACTATTTCTGACAAGGCTAATAGCTTCTCCTTAGGCAGGGGCCACTGAGGTATCCAAACCGGATCATTTGACCTCCAGGTGATTTTGATCGAAGTGGGTAGGAGAGCTTCTTCAGCGGCCCCTAAGAAAAACCCAGCCCTTGCCTACCTTTTTTGTTCTCTACTGGTATTGGGGATGTCCGACCCTGTAGGGCATTGCCCAAGCCTTTGCCGGGGGTATATCCCTGGTTCCTGAGTATATCCTTAGCCTGGGGGGAGCAGTTTGACGTAAGCGTGACATCCATCTGAGTGAGGATGTCCCTTCCCCATAGAGACACTGGCAACTGCAACACAAATGGTTGGAAATGGCCCTGATGACCCTCCTCATCGCACCAGAGCAGGGTTGAAGCACTAACCTGAGGAGCTGACACCATCCCCAGGCCCTGCAGCGTGTTATCTGCAGTGTTGGTGGGCCAGTTGGAGGGCCAATCCTTTCTAGAGATAATGGAACGGTCAGCTCCTGTGTCTAGGAGCCCTGTTATACTCTTGCCGTTGACCTTAAGTGAGAGCATGGGCCTTTTATCAAGTATTATATGGAGTCCCTCGAAGACTTCCCCTGAGGAACCGAAACCTTGACTTTCTCTAATTTTCTGCTTTGAGGGAAATCTCTTGTGGAGACTGGGGAGCAGCAAGAGCTGCGCTATCTTGTCTCCTTTATTGATTACCATAGTACCCACAAGAGATTGAACCATAATTTTAATGTGTCCTGTGTAGTCTGAGTCTATGACCCCCGGGACTACTATGAGACCCCGAAGGGCCGTGGAGGATCTCCCGATCACCAGACCCACGGAATTTTCGGGTAACGGTCCCTTAAAGGTGGTTTCAACCACTTGAACACCCATATCAGGCACTAATATAAGTCTGGAGGCGACACTGAGGTCCACACCTGCTGACCCAGGGGTGGCCCTTGTTGAAGGCTGCCATCCTGAGCTGTCCTGTCTCTGGGGCGGGGGCCCGCCTGTGAAGGGGGCCCCCTCTGGCCGTTTTTTGGCCCTCTAACATCTCGTCCACAAATACGGTTGCCCTGAGCATCAAAGACCGACCTACACTCCTCAGCTTTGTGTGATCCCCTCTTGCATCGCCCACAAACATATGGTTCTTCATTCCTAGGGCGAGGCCTAGCATCTGCATTGTTTGGGCAATGACGTTTAATGTGTCCTGGCTCCCCACAGGCAAAACACCCTTTAGCCTTACATTCCCCTTCTAACCCGCGAGGTCCCCTCTGCTGTACAGCCGCGGCCAGGAGAGCAGCCACTCCCGAGTTGGAGAGCGGCCCCCCTATCTCTCTACATATCCTAATCCAGGCGTTGAGGTCCTTGTTCTTATGAGGAGCTATCGCTGCCTTGCACTCCTTTGTACATTGCTCAAAAATCAGCTGCCTTACCAGCGGTTGAGCCACTCCCGGATCAGAAAATATCTTATCGGCAGCATCTTGCATTCGGGCCACAAAGTCAACAAATGGCTCTGTGGTACCCTGAATTACTGGGAAAGAACCCTGTGACTCCTTATCGAGCGACTTAGGCTCCTGACAGCTGGTCTCTTTGGCCTCCTTGCCATTCAACTTTCCCTCGTCCTCGGAGTCAGACGACTCCGAGGCTAGAGCCCCGTCCTTCTCCTTAGCATCTTTGTTCCCCTTGACGGGCCCCTCTCGGGAGCTCCCTGACTGGGCCTGCTCAAATACCCTGCGTACTTTTGTAAGCTCTTGAGAGCTTTCTCCACAACCACCCTCGCTCTTAATGTTACTACCTAGCATGTTTCCCATTTTTTAATATGTTACTCACCGCGTGAGGCCCAAGGAATCCGCCACTTACGCGTGAGCCTGAGGGGAGTCTAAAAGCCCTGTAGGTGCGCGCCACCCAGAGCCCAGGCTTATCCCCAACTCACCTGTCTCGCAGCTCTGTACTGGAGCGTTGTCCGCTGTCACGTCTCGGGGGTGATCAGTCCCCGTGCGGGCCTCCAAATGTCGATGTCTGCTCCCGGCCGGCAGGAAGGACACACGACAAAGTCTGGCAGTGGACAACCTTTTCTTTTATTTTTCTTCTCCGTACAGCCTGCCCTGGGATCGCTCCCAGCCGAAGCCTCCTTTGGTCCGCTCCCCGCGGCTCCTTTTGGGCTTCTACTTCCGGGCTTCTCCTTCCCCCCCAGGGGTGGCACCAGTATATATACGGATACAGTGTCCAATCATGTTAAAGTGAGCAAGGCAAGCTGATTGGCTAACATCATCAGTTGCCAGGCAGACTATATTGTTGAGCGGGTTGCTTACGCGGTAAGCAGGAAACTAACGTGCTCGATGGGAGGGGTAATCTACCTCAGGCTTTACTCTTTACTACAGGCCTCACGTCCGCCAAGTGAGGCGACCGGGCTCGGGGCTGCGGCTCCCAACAGAAAATATAATCTTTACTCATTTAACTCTAAACTCATTGTGGCTCTAGCTACCAATATTAGTTTTTAGGTCCTGTTCTGATTTCAGTGGATTTCCAAGAAATACATTCTCCTTAGCAAATGAGAGGAGTACTTGGTTTCTTGTCCTCTTCATCATCCCCTTTTACCATTTCTGCTCTGATTTTTCAAGAACATCAGCCTAAATGGAAAATACATTTATTTAAATCTAAAGAGTAATCATTTGAGTGCTCTTCACTCCAGGGCACTTCACTATTGCATTTAGAATTCTTAAACACCTATAACTGTTGTGACAACCACATTTAATCCTGGCTATTGTCCGAACCCTCTGTGCAACCTTGTGTCGCACAACAGGTGAAAGAGTGGAAAGGAACAGGGCAGCCTCAGGATTACCAGGGCTGTGGGAATGGAGCTTGTCTGATGGAAAAAAGAAGGGTCTCTGCATGACACTGGCTGAGCAGTTGGATGGTGTAAGAAGAGGTAAAGAGTTAGGAGAGCAAGAGGTAACGAGGAAGGGAAGGCAGCTCTTTGCTGTGACTCTCCTACTTACAATTTAGAAAAGCATCAAAGACATAAGTATATTTATTAGTGGCATTGTGGATACAACTTGTATTTGTGTGCATATTCCCCAGTGAATTGATCCTTATAACCCTGATTGATTCTTACCTGTATAAATTCAAGGCAGCAGGGCAGGTTACCATCTTGCAACTGTCCCTGGAAAGGGAGGCCGAGAACCAGGGTGAGGCGGGGTCTTACTTTTTGAGAGCAATCAAGAAGAGTTTCTCTGATCCTTCCAACGGGTGTGAGCAGCTTCTTCTCTTGTGAGGAGGACTGCAGCAGCCTCTCCCAGCCACAAAGGATACACGTAGAAGCAGGTGGCATCCACTAGGAAACTGAACCTTCCTGGCAGGAAGTGGAATGCCCCAGCATGTACTCTTTGCAGGACTGGATGTTACAAACAAGTGTTTAAGACATTTAGAGCAAAGTGATTATTTTTAAAAGCAGGAGATTTATTTTAAGAGCCATTTGAGAGTTGCTCTCTGTGTGTAAAACATCCTGAAAACAGTTTTATCTGACACTATGGATTTATCTTGTTGATTAATTTCCTTTGGGCTTGGAAAGCACAGATGTGATTTTGGAGTCCTAGAGAAAGTTGACTACCACAGGAATGATCTTTCCATGTTCATTAAGGTGTTTGCACCAGCCACCCAAGGGATATCCTGGGAGCAGGAGCCATCTGCCATTTAGGCTTTGAAAGAGGGCGAGGTGTTATAACCCAAGTGATGCTAATGTGATAACCCAAGTGATACTTTTGTCAGTGCTTAGAATCTGTGAGCCACCTATTTCTATCTAGAGCTGTGTGAGTGTGTGTGTGAGTGCATATGTGTGTGCATGTGTGTGTTAGGGGAGAGGTGCTACATAGAACAGATGGGACACCAGCATGAGCTTCAGTGAGAAACTAAAGAGATTCCTCCCTCCATCTGCTTTTCTTAGTAGTCGCCTTGTCCAAAGCCCAGAGAAGCAGCAGAATCAAGTCAGCCCTGCAGTTGGCTGGCACTCCTGGCAGAGCAAAGGAGCACAGAGTGGGTAGCCCTGATGCAGTGGTCGTGAAAGCATGCTTAGGAATCAAAGCAGGCCTGGGTTGGCTTCCCTGTGTGTTACTTGCAAGGTTTGGGACTCTGGGAAAACTAGTTAACCTGTTAAATCACTTGGTCTTATTTGTAAACTTGGATTAATATTGATGTCCACCTTATAAGAACGTTTTGAAAATTAAATGAGATAACTCAGGTCAAATGATTATCCTTTTGCTTAGCCCAACATAAGAAGTCCAGACTGGCCCTGTACAACTGTGGTAATGTTCATATTGATTTCCCTTCTGTTCTTGTCCCCTTATTGTCCTAAAGTAGCTAGAATGAACTTTAAAACATGTGGGCACATCACGTACCTTTTCAAAGGCTTTCCATTGCTCTGACCTCCTCTACTCTGTGCTCCTGGGTTTTGGCTACTGGAATGATTTGCTTCTTATACTAAGCACTGCTCAGCCCTTAGGACTTTGGCTTAGTCCGTCCCTCTGCCTGGCATGCTCTATCCTTGATATTTTTATGGCTGGTTCCTGCCAATGAGAGGCTCAAAATTGAAAGCACGACCCTCTAACACAGTCTATTACCCTGCCCTGTTTCATTTTTGTCACTGCTTGAATGAACTGTATTTATTTATTGCTTTCCCTATGTCATTTATGTGCTACTCTTCCCTTGCAGTCACTGTATTTTCTTCCCTGGGATTACAAATCATCTAGAAGTTTCTCATTTTGTTTTTTATCACTGCAGTATCCCCACAATCTTGTGCAGTGCTTGGCACATGCCAAGTATTGATTGAATTAATGGAAGAATAATGTTTTGTCCTGTCATCTCTGTCGTATCTATCCATTCTTCAAAATTTAGTTGAAGGCTAAATTTCTCTAGCAAGTCATTTCTGATTATCACAACTTTAAAGAATCTTTTTATGAATCCAGGAGACACTGGGGATATGGTCCATCCATTTTTTCTTAGTACATGTCACCAAATAGAGTTGGTAATACCTTTTCTTTACTGTTTCCACAATTCAGGAACAAAGAGATAGACTATTTCCAAATACTTTTTATGAAGGCAGCATAAAACTTGATAAATATTGGAACAGAGGCAGAGAATCAACACATTGAAAAGCTAAATCAGACCTGGAGAAAACCCACAAAATTTCTTAAGACCTCATTATCTGTCATCTATTTCAGATTTAATATAATGAAAAATAAAACCCTTTTTACAGCAGGCTGTTGATAAAAAGTCAAAATTAAAAAAACCTGTTGTATTTGATCCTAAAGATTGGAATATTATAATGCACTAGAAAAGCAAAGTATTCTACCCAACAAAAGATACAACCAAGAATGGAGATCTGGAGTTTCCAAAGGCAATACTCACATCACGAAATGTGTGTCAGTCCTTTGATTTACAAAGCAGTTGATTCCAGTAAAACTGACTCCTCACTGCATTTAGCACAAATAAATTGTTTGCATTTGCTTAACCAAAGAATATTGGCTTTGAGTAATTGGCTACTGGTAACCAGAAATACCAGTGCAGTTATAGTGGCATAAAAAGTTCCCAAACAGTCACATGGGAGTTGTAAGTTGGGTGAAAAGCTCTCATGCCACTTAAACTGCTCTGCTAAGACAAAGTTTAGTCAGTAGACACTGAAGAAAACTCAGGTTTCAAGCCCTTTGGTTGTAAGGGGCTGATATACTCTACCCAGGAATGGCAGAAAGGATTGGACAAAGGATCACTGGTCTAGTCCTTTAAAATGAAGGTATTTCATTCATTCATTCACTCAACAAATGTATTTTGACTCTCAGTTGTGAGCCAGGGAAAGAGTCTAGGTCAGTAGTGGATGAACCGATGACATATGTGCCACACCTGGCTGTTCGTTATCACTAGAAGCTCTAAAAGTTTTGCCGTCACTGGTCTAAGGGATGAGGTTATAGAGATGAATAAGACAACTATAATTTTTACACTCATGAAACTTTTATTGAGCAGGAGACAGGAAATCACTAAGATGTTTTGAGTTGGGAATTATTCATTAAAAATTTAAGAGGTAACATTTGCTTTTAACCTTGCTTTTATGTAGTCTGAAAAACTCAATTTTTAAGTGGTCAAAATTTTTAGACTTTTTTCTGTGCATTTTTGTTGGCCCCCTTATGGTTTGACAATCCTCTTGTCCTTCTAAAATATGCAAACATACATTCCTATTTTCTTCTAATATTATGGTTTATCTAAATTTTCCACATAACTAGGAACTCATTTTAATGTACAAGTAAGATTTTAACCTGGTCATTTTTTATTACCATGAAATGCTACATTCATCATTACCTACAGTCCCCAAATTACACACTTTATTTTGTTCAAAAGATTGATTTATTGCTATAACAAAACAATTATACTATTTTCATGTATTTATTAGTAAATATCTCGCATTTATTTATTTTTTATTCCCTTGGGTATTTTCACATTACATTCTTTGAGAACAATTTTTTATTTGAAGAAATTTTAAATTGTAGATGTGTTAAATTTGTAGGTTGAACCAATTGTAAGTTATCAATAAGTAAAGTCAGACAAGATTGGGTGCATTCAGGGTGGTTTGGATGTAGACTTTATAAGTAAAATCCACTTTCCAGCTGATTGAAGGCCCTATACATGCAAGGTCCTCAAAATAACGTGATGTATATAAATCCATGTTTATGTTCTAGACATGAAAATTAGAAGCCTAATAAACTCCCTAATTCATCATGGAGGGAATAAAGGAACATCTAAGCCTTTACACTTCTTTGTACCACTTTATCCAAAATGTGGTCTTTATTTGTTCATGTCTTCCTTTAATTATGAATCAGAGTTTAAGAGTTTCTTTTTTTATTTTATCAAGTTTATTATGAGGAATCTTAAATTTTCCAAGTAGAATATATATTGTTTTTGATATGTATTACTTTTGTGATTGTCTTCTTACTGAAGTTGTCTATTATTTACATTAAGTTTTAGCTAGTATGCTTTGATTGTGTAAGTGTAAAGTGAATGTCCTGTGCAAACTGTTTCCACCTTTTAGTCATTCATACTTCTAATTTTCTTTTTTTGATTAAATGTGATGCTAGTGCATTTAGTTGTGCATTAAGTAGTAACATGGTAACAAAGTACTTACCTAACATTAATGGAAATAGTTCTAGTTTTAAAAATAATTAACATATATACGTATAATAAATACACATATAATATAATAAATACCACATATATATATAAGAAATAGGTGCAGTACAATGTATATATATGTATGAACATATTTATTCTTAAAGATGTATTCATTGGAATCAATGCTGAATGCTCAATGCCTTCTGGCACTCATCAAGGTTTTACTTAAGAAACATAAATTTTAGTATTATATCATTTCTGTGTTCCTTGATGATAGACTCTTCTCTTGATATTGAATTCCATTTGGCCACATTTTCTTTTGGATTTGGGCATAATATTCACAATTGAGGTTAGTCCAGAGTTTTCTTTATGCATTTCATCTTTGTCAAATTTTGGCATCTGTTTCATTTATGCTGGTTTCATAAAAATGTCTGAAGATCTTCTTTCCTTCTCTATGTTTCAGAATTGTAAAACCAGTGGAGGAGTTATTATGTTACTAAGGCTTTGAAGCATGATTCCAGTGGGATCTTGCTCTTTTAAGTAAGGCATGGCTGATGGTCATGGATGAAAAATTCTCCTACTTGTTGCAAGGCCATTTTAGATATTATTTTTATTTATTTATTTTAAAGAGGATAAAACAATAAAACTGATAAAAAAAACTAAGTATAAGAGATACAGGACTTCAAAACATTATAAAATCAATAATAGTTACCATAATGCCTTTTGATATCTTCAAAATAGCTGCAGATAACTATGGACACAGTAAAAATCAAACAGAATAGAACAGAATAGAAACAATAAAAACAAAAACAATGAATGTAATAAAGGACTTCAAAACAAGCCAATAGTCAATTCAAAATTGCTACCATAATAAATATTTGGGTATCTTTGAAATCGCTGTTCCTGCCATTGGATTTGACAAAATAAAACAAAACGAAAGAGAATAAAATCCAACCCAACAAAACCATGGAAAAAATATAGAACCTCAAAACAAGATCATGGGGAAGCAACAATGGCTGCAACCCTCAGAAGGAGATCCCCTCCTAGATACTACACTCCCTACTATTATCCTCTGAATCCATGATCAGACCACTGGCCCTAGACCTGCAATGCTAGTGAAACACCAAAGCGCCACAGGCATCCAATTGCATTTCATCTTCATAGCTGTCTTAGTTACTTTTTACTGGCCGCTGATACAAAATTACCTGATGCCCAAAGTTGGGAAAGGAAAGGTTTATTTCTTACAGTTTTTGGAGGCTTCAGCCCATACTCAGTTGGCTCCAACGGAGAGTGGCACAGCGGGGCCACAGATCATGGGGGCTGCAAACAGCAAGGCAGAAACTAGCAAGAGAGCAAGACACGCCTTCTTCCTGCCATTACATCATATCCTGGCTCCACCCCTATGTGCGTGTAACACTGACGCCACCAATCGAAGCGCTAGACAATGAACCAGTCACAAATGCTTAATGTAAACCATGAGGCCTGGGGGCTACCGACATAAACCATGACAATAGCTGTCATCACAGTCTGTGTTTCTCTGGATAAACCAGTGGCTTACGGAAGGGTGGGAGGGTGGGATTGGTACTTCTTGTATTGGTAAGCTGAGCACTGTAAGGGGCTGGCGTCTGGTTTTTCTCAGATTGGTGGTGGCCCGCACATGGCACTGGTTCTCAGACTGGGCTTGTTTGCTAGAGTGCCTTTGTTCTCTCTCCCCTAAGGCTGCAAAAGGTGCTGACTCACAGGAAGAGGCTTGGGTCTAGCTGTTCCACAGACATTGTTTTTATTTTGCCCCTATTTGGCAATTTCATTTTAAAAAATATTTAGAAGAGCATTTTATCTGAAGTTGTACACAGTTTTTCCCAAGGTGTAAAGTAATTCTTTAAAAAAAGATAAGTTATGAAGCTGAGCATGGTGGCTCATGCCTGTAATCCCAGCACTTGGAAGGCTGAGGCAGGAGGATTGTTGCATATTCAAGACCAGCCTTTCCTACAAAGTGAGCTAAAGGCCAGCTTGAACTGCATAGTGAAGCCCTGTCTCAAAATAAATAAATAAATAAATAAATGAAAAATTTAAAAAAAAGTTAAGTTATTTTAAATCCTATACTCTCACCAGAGTTAATAGTGGTGGAATATGATTTTACCATCTCTCAGACCATCTACAGATAGATGGATGGAAATAGTTTTATAACAAATAGATCTTATCTTCCATGCACTGTGTCAATGTTATTTGAATTTAATGGTAAAAGAAAGTCGAAGAAAAACTGGAGAAATTATAGCAGTTAAAATAATCGTTTCTTTACTTTTAGAGATATCAGTTCTAAAGAATTTTTTCTTGGATAAGAAACAAGATTTAAGAGTCACTAAAAAGTGAGAGTAAATTTTTTAAAAAAATTTTGAGACAGGATTTTGCTATCCAGTTCAGGCTGGTTTTGAACTCACTTTGTAGCCAAGGCTGGCCTTTGAACTAGCAGCAATCCTCCTGCCTTAGCCTCCTGCACTCTGAAATTACAGGTATGTACCACCACTCCTAATTTGGAGTACTTTTTAAGAAAGGGATGACTCAGAGTTAAGTAGTGCTATGGTTGAATATGGCCTGTTCCCCTGAACTCACGCAGTTCATTCCCCAAATTCATGTGTTAACAGTATTAAGAAGTTGTAAACTTAATCTAAAATGTGGTGTTTAGGAGTGGGGCTTTTGCAAAATAATATCTGAGATAACAAGGTCCTTAGAGTGAAACCTCCATGACTGAAATCTTGGTGGATTTATTTTATTTTCTTATTTTTTATTTTTTGGTACTGGTATTTGAACTCATTACCTTGTAAGCGCTTGAGCCATTGAGCTAAATCCCCATCCCCATTTGGTAGATTTATAAGAAGGGGGCAGAGGCCAGACACAGAGATGTGCATGTACTATTTCTTACCATGTGATGTCATGTACTGTCTTCAGATTTTGCTAGCAAGAAGGCTGTTGCCATCACCTAGCCAATCTCTTTTTAGTCTAAGTACATGAACTGGTTCTGTTTTTTGGGGAGATAGAGGTTGCTTTACCACTGAGAGTGTAACCCTTTCTAACCACAGCTTTATGGGGAGATGACATCCTATCATCAAGAGCTGGCATGTGCAGCTTTCCTAACTCAAAGCATTCATGAAATTTCGGTTTGTTCTTGCTTGGTTTAGGACAAGACAAGACCTGGTCTGTGTCTGACTTAACTATCTGTGTAACAGGCTTGTACTGTATGAGGATAATTAACTTCTGTCTTGACAGTAATTTTTTAATGCTTGACCTTTGTTTTTAGTCTATTTTTTATTTTCTTTTTTTATTAGTATGTATTTGCAATATATAATAATTACATTCATGTAATAAAGAAAGAAAAAAAGAAATAATGGAAGGAAATATTTAAATGGAAGAAATACCACATTCACAATAACTGCATGGTGCTATTTAGTTGCTTTGAAATTCTCGAGTATAAGCTGTCAGCATCTCCTGAAATCTTCATAGTTCTAAAGAGTCTCAACTTGTCTTCAGCCCAGGGAGCCAATGGCACTCAGGAGAACCCAGCCTTGGATACAAGTCTACTGGAAGAGTTCTTGGGCAATGACTTCGATTTGGGAGTCTTGTGAGTAATGAAAGCAATCTCTTTATTTGATGTTTTCAAAAGAGATAATTAAATGAGGTAGGAAGTGTTTTATCCTGCTCTATTTTCCAAACTAATTTAGATAGAATTGGTATTATTTCTTCTATAAATCTTTGGTATATTTCACCAGCAAGGATACATGGACTTGGAACTTTCTTTCTGGGAAGTGCCTTATCTTCTCCCCAACTCATGTCATTGCAAAAATTCAATAGTCTGAATAAATATGGCACCATTTAAGTTATACATTGGATTGTTACCAACTTAGGGAGTGTGAGTCCTTTAGAGAATTCGTACTGAGAGGTTGAGCAACACTCCTTAGGTCAATCAGTAGGAAAGCAGGGTGAGAATCTATCTGGTTTTAAAACACATGTCTTTTCTCCTGCATGCAGTTTTTAGGCTGATACTTTAAGGAATATTTTGGAGAAATACAGGCCTCAGGGAAATACGGTTAAGGCATGTTAAATTATCTATCAAAAGGTGTGACTCAGAATAGAGTTGAGCCACAGTTGTGTAAAGGTTGTCAGAGATCACGTTCACTCTGGAAGAGTCCTGTGATCAGATAACCTGTCATTATGTGATAAAAATTGCACAAGCGCAGGCAGTAAAATGAGGGCTGCAATAAAATGTGAGAGGGGACAAGCGGAAACAGGTCCAGCCCTGACCTCGGGATGTGGGCTTGTTCAGAGATCACCGTGTCTCTGCTCCCTGTGTAGACACTTGAAGTTTGGAGACGCCGGGCTCTGTGCAGCGTTTCTCCCCACTGCAGGATGTAATCTTGCACATGCACACACACACGCACACACACCCACAGCAGAGCTTGGCTTACTGCAAACCCTGGATTACTTCTTTACTAAATTGCCTATGAACTATGGCTTTAAAAGTATCAATGACAACTCTTTAAATCGTTTAAGAAACTACTAGACTATAAAATTGCTAAGCTGAGGTTTGAATTTCTTAGGTAGATTTTAAAATCTTAAATATATTAAAAGGTGAAATTATAGGTTCCGTAAAACAGATTTTTTCTAAATGTTCTAATAGAAAACGTGTCCCATAGGTGCTATGGGAAAAGTTTCATAATCTATAAATAAGCTTGTGATTCAGTGGCAACCAAATTAAATGAGCATATTTACTGTAAGACTTTTCAAAGCCTTTGATGTGCTAATGTGCACTTGGAGAAGGGAAATAGTATTGTATCTTCCTCAGATTTTCTGGCCATTGACTTCTGTTGGGTGACATGTGTTCCTTGTGAGCACTGGGATATGCTACTCAGGACTTTCTTATCCTCTTGTGAAACTGAATTTGTGTGTGGAACAGGGGCCAGTCCTCTCAGCATGTGACAGTTTCTGTAAATTACCCTTAACCCTATATTTCCTCATGCTGAAGAGTCCAGGCTGCTAACTGTCTAGAGGAGAAAGCTGAGGTCCTCTCTGATTTCCTACGTTAGCCAGCCAGTCACCTGCTAGGTACATCGGTACACTGTGTTGGTAGAATGTCCTGAGAAAAGTACAGTGGGGAGCACTGCTTGAAGAGTGGGAGCTGGAAACTGAAGGGGCAGCATAAAATGCTGGAGGTTGTAATAAAAATAATTGTGTGTGTGTGTGTGTGTGTGTGTGTGTGTGTGTGTGTGTGTGTGTGAACGAAGTCTCTGGGGAAAAAAAAGACTAGTTAATTTTTAAGAGATGTTTTGTTTGTTCTCTTATTTAAAGTGACGAGGGCCAGAGATGTAACTCTGCAGTATAGCACTTGCCTAACATAGCCTGGGCAAAGCCCTGGATTGAATCCCATCTTGAGCACTGCCAAAGAAAGAAAGAAAGAAAGAAGGAAAGAAAGAAAGAAAGAAAGAAAGGAAGAAAGGAAGGAAGGAAGAGAGAAAGAGAGAAAGAAAGCGAGGGCTGAAGAGCAGCATGAGTTTCGGTTGGAGACTAGAAATGTAGCATCTTTACGTTTACCCAGAAATGCTGAATCAGAATCTGCATTTTTGATAAGATTTTGTGGGTTTCATATCCAGATTATAGTTTCAGAAGACTTGTGTTAGATCCTGTAAACATGCTTCCTTCCCCACCAGCCTCTCAAGGCTCCAGCCAATCAGTCCTGCATCACTTGATGGTGGGAATACAGTCTCAGGAAAACATCACTAGGTATTTCTTTGCATGTATACACAAGCTAAGACAGACATGGTGTCACTAAATGACATAGTTTTATGGGATCACAGTCAACAACAGACTGAAATGTTACGGGTGCATGTGTACTCAGTGGGGGTTGATATTACCAGTTTTAGGCTGACCTTGAGTCCTGACCCTGACCTTGAGGGTAAGAAAACTGAGCGTGGTGAACTGTGAGGAAGATGTTTGAATAGCAACCTCATAAGGACGATTCAGAGATACCTTAGGTCATGAGGAAATCAACTCTAGGCTTCATTTTATTTCATCATAATGATTGAGCTCATGCACCTAATATTTTAGGTTTTACTTAGGACTAGGTTTATCAGGGTTGGATGGCAAAAGGAGTTACAAGTCTGACACCACATGCATATCTCAGTAGAGTAGGGCTGATAAACTTTTTATAATGATGTTGCGACAGGGAATGAGGCAATGCCTGCAGCTCAGTGGGAGGAGCTTGCTAATGGGCATTTGAGTCCATTGACTGCTTTGACTCCAGATCTCAACTTGATATAGTAAGAGGAACTCTATAAAGGAAGATTGGGCTAAAACACTACTCTGCAACGCCTGAATTCTAAAGAGAGTTGTACGAAACAATATATCCTAAAATAATCAATAGGGTTAGCGATGTGAGGGTAAGCTCTGATGGTAGGTCTCTTAACTCAAGCTTGGCTAATCATCAGATGAATGATCTTGAGTAAATTGTTTAACTTCATCAGGCCGCAGTTTTATTGCCTCTGGAGTAGGAAGAATACCATAGCAGTACCCTTTTATAGAGAGATTGTAGAGATTAAATGAAACAAGGGTTAGCAGGATACCTCACCTAGAGAAGATTCTCCATGTAGGTCCTTTCTGTCCAAAGCAGCAGAAGATAGGTGACAAAAGAGACAGATCCCTGCAGTTCACTAACACAGAGTGGAAGGAGAAGAGTGGGTCTTTCCTATTTTGTTTCTGCTGTTCTATCATGAAATGGTTTTCTTGGGCTGTTACCCGCTGATATTTCTTCCAAGGTCCTTTGCCATCCAGGGGGGTAGGTATAAATGCTAACCAAACTTGATCAATATTTATAAAGCACCTACCATACACTGACCTCTAGGGTACTATGGAGTGCATAGTGTGTGTGCAGAAACATACAGAAATTCCTAATGTGAAAGTTCATGTGTATGGGGAATATATCATGCACATGAAAAATTAGGGAAAATATCTTCAATGACAACTATTTTTATAGTTGGGGGATGAATTACAGTACTAAATGAAACATTCGGAATCCTTGTCAATAGCTTACAAAAGGCCATGTGTTGGGATCAGTCTGCTCTGGAAGGGTCCACAGGCATTTTTTCAGAATTGGTTATAGTATAGTATAGTATAGCTTGATTCCGCAGAGGGTTAAGTATTGTTTCTAAATTCTCCGCAGACAATGCGTTTCCTTGTTGCTAGCTTCTGGGGGCAGGCCCTCCCCTTCCTCTCGCTCTTGGCACTCTACTGCTGTCATGTCACTCCACTGGGGAAAAAAAGACAGTGACAGATAGTCTAAGGTCATGCAGTCAGATGAAGACATAAGAACAGAATGAGGAAGTGGGGGGTGGTAAGTGGGAGAAGGCCACTGTCATCACAGATTTGTGGTCTGGAGAGCCTGCTCTTAACATAGGAAATTATGTATGCAGAATATTCATTGTAGTACATAGTTTTCTTTCTTTTAACCCATTTTTTATTTTAAAGAGGATAAAACCAAGGAAAATAAAATAGAATAAAACCAATCAAAATAAACCAGTATAAGTGCTACAGGACTTCTAAACCTTCAAACCTTACAAAATCAACAATCATGCCTTTTGTTGTCTTCAAAAGGGCTGCAGATACTTTTGGACATAGTAAAAATCAAACAGAACAGAACAGAATAGAAGCAATAAAAACAAAACAATGAATGTGATAAAGGACTTCAAAACAAGCCAATAGTGAATCCAAAATGGTTACCATAATGTCTTGCTATCTTTTAAATAGCTCTTCATGCCATCAGATTTAACATAATCAAACAAAACAAAAGAGAATGAAACCCAACCCAGCAAAACAATGAAAATGATATGGTTTTCAGGCAGGGATCACTTCCTGGTGAGGCTGGGTTCTCTCCATGGTTTTCTTTTAAAAAGCACTTGCTAGTTATTAAACACCAGCGCTGCTCCAGGCACTGTACTGCACTGAGGTCACCGAGGGGTGCAGTGGAGCTCTGGTGCAGGGCCAGTTGGTGAAGGCACTGGGAGACTCATTACAGCAAACTCAGATTTGGGCTGTTGAATTTGTAAGTAGTCTCACTGGTGTTTTCACATGAAGACTGTGTTTTGATACTATGTGGGGGCCTGCACAGTGCACAGCAGAATCACAGGCTGTAGGCACTCAGTCTACTTCAGGGTGCTAAATCAAGGTGACAGTGTAAAAGAAACACTGGCTGCTTTGGGGGCAGCATGTGGCTGTCATGAGTGTACATACAACTTAGAGGGAACAGTCTCTCATGCTCTCCTCTTTTAACTTGTATAAAATTCAGCTCCCAGGAGACAGTTTTCTCTGTTCATCCTCCAAAGACACAAACATGTTCTATCTCCAAGAGGAGGCAAATTATTCTCTTTTTTAAGTCAGTTGCTAAGAATCTCTTGGTTTTACAAGTGTCTCCAATAGAAGCCAGAGACAGAGTTGGCCTCTCAGTGAATGACTGAGGTGTTTTGTCATTTTCTGGCACCTGTTTTATGCAAATTCATTCATGTAAGAGATAAGTTCAAAGTACAAAGTCTGCTGTGCATTGTGTGCATTTCTGGTATGGTGATTGTGAGCAGGAATGAGTGCAAAAACAATCCCAAAGAACAGTGTTTTTCTGGAGTTTGTCATTGCCTTGTTTTAATGATTTGCCTAGTTTTGAAGGTCTATTTCATCCATTCTTTCATTAGATTCCCTGAAAAAAACTGCTAAGTTTCTCTGAGCATACCAAGAATGGATTTAGCATGGAAGAGTATAAAATATAATTAAATAAAAGATTAGCTTGATGAACTACTGTCCCTGAACACGGGGCTTCTTTCACATTTCTCTAAAGAATGAATATGCATATATTTTTGCAAGGAATTACTCTGTGTGGACTCAAACTATAAACTCTGTCTCTTGGAAAGAAGCTCCTATTTCAGTTTCTGCCCCACACATGGCTGGCTTAGGATCAGCAAGAGACTTGGGCTCTTGTACACAGAATCTGGCTTCCTATGTAGGTATCAGTATTTTCCAAGATTCCCTCTCATTTTTCCAGCAATCTTGTTTATCCCACATTCTTTTCTGGTTGTTCAGCCTAAAAGGGCTGGATTTTTATTGGAGTTTTAGACTGTCTGTGCTTTGACTTCGATTAGACTTTGAGGCTAAAAACTGCAAACAGGTAACCCACAGTTCGTTAATATTTTCCTCCAAATTTCAGTACCCTTCCAGAATCTTGCTACTTTTGGCTACTTTCCAGTATCTGTGGGTAAGTTTTTTAATGTCCAAATGTTCAGAGTTTTTATCTGCAGAAAGATCAGGTTTGGTGGAGCCAGTCGTATTAGAGGTCAGTCAGATAGGAAGCAAAAGAGCTGTGATGGTTCTTCTGTATTTCTGTATCTGTATTCTTTATCTGTTTGTTTGTGCTCTGTCTTTAATTTTAAAGACTTTCTAACAATATCTGGTATTTCCTTGTTTCTGTTTAAGAAATTCTGTATCAAAATCACCATTAATTCTTAAAATTCTTAAAAGGTGAATTTCATTACAGTGTGATCAGATAGGAATGGGCTATTTCCTTGGTAACTTAACATACTGTGTGTGTTTGGCCCTTGAGTACATTTAAGCTTTCATGGGAGCAGAGTTCTAATTTATTACTCATGAAATATTGGTTTGGTTGCATTCAAAGCAGAGTTGAGGGAGATGTCACATTCAGCATTTAGGTTTTTAATGAACCCTTTCATGTTCAGGCCAGCAGCTCATCAGTGGCCTTAACAGTACCTAGTAACCTTGTACCATTTCCTGGTTTCATTTCACTCGTTTTGGGGTGATGGGGGACAAACTGATATAATGGTCTGACTGGTTCTTAATTGAAGCTTTAGTGACTCTGTTTTCCAACCTTATCTTATCCCTGAATTTAGAGATTTTTTTGTGATTCCAGTGTCATAGGCTTTTCATTTCTTAATATGCAATTTTACAAAAAAGAAAAAGAAAAAGAAAAAAATATGCAATTTTACTTGCACCTCAATATTTGAAACAGAAAAAAGTTATTTTTCCCCATGTATTAAAAATATTCTTTTGTAAACTTTTGAACTTCTAAGAGCTATACACACTTCAGAACATATAGAGATGGAAAGCCATTTAGCAACAACATTTTACATGGCCTTAGCTCAAGCCATATGTACAACCATTTTTGTGGTATAAGAATTTTAAGAGCTGGGGATTTAGCTCAGCAGCACAAGCACGAACCTTCCAAGCACAAGGTTGTGAGTTCAGTCCCCAGCACCAAAAAGAAAAAAAAATATTAATTGAAATTTATTGAGCACTCACAATATTGAGGGTAATACATTATAGACTTATATAGACATTTCAATTCTCACAATGATGCTTTATTTTGACATAATAATTAGTTCTGTTTTGTCAGTGAGAAAATAGAGGCCTGAAGAGGTTGTTTGTTCATGGATGCAAATCTAAGAAGTCAAAGAGTTGGGACTCAAAGCCCAGTCACTTAGCATGGCATGACACTGAGTGTGGTCTGATGGGCTTCACTCCCACCCCTCAGCAGCTGGTATCAGTACTGAGGGTGCTTGCTGTACACGGAGAGCTGCCTCCTATTTGTGATGGAACAGCATAAGAAAGAAAGCAATCATTTCTCTAATCTGCAGCCAACGCCAGCTCCCAGAGACCCCACCCTATTCTACATCAGACCCATGTTCGCCTCCACAGGTCAAAGGTGAGTGCAGATGCTCAGTGTGTCTTGTGCTGTTACTCTCTGGAATGTGAGTGGTACAAAATAGAGATGTTTCTTGCTTTCGTCTTCTGCCAGGTACAAGCTACGGGACCACAAGGGCTACACCTGAGAGGACTCCCGCTGCTTTTCTGCACTCCGCAGCGGCCCCCGGGATGCTGTCTGTGAACCTGCAGCAGAGCATGTCTGGAATGAGCGACTCTGCTCAAACCCATGACAGCTTTCACAACTGTTACCCAAACACCAGTCCCTCCAACCTCCTGGATCAGTCGGGGTCCTCCTATCTGGGGACAAGCTGTTCTTATCACCAGCAGTCTCTGTGCCACATCCCTGGGTAAAGGGCAAGATATTTAGTTCAGAAAGATCTCAGCAGAAAGAGATGGAGCAGTCAGAAACCCGGTAGCGATGTGGGGAGACTGCAGTGGGAGCCTGGCCAGGAGATGGCAGTGTTGAGACGTGAATAGGACGTGGCGCGCCCCAGTGTTCTTGGCTTAGGCAAGCTCTTAATTAAAATCCCACTAAGTCCAAAGTGCTCATTCAACAAAAAGTAAAATGTCTGAAGCACAGGAAGGTTCCAGGTGGTAGAAGTAACAGCGGTTACATATGTTAGCCAGATGATACAGGGAAATTTGGAGATGAGCGCTTGGAAAACTGTCAGCTAAGCATTAATAGAGTCGTCTCATCTGTCTTTCTTTTCTCCCATTTATTTCTCCTTTTGGAGGACCATTAAAAATTGAGGCCAACCTCTATGGGAAAAATATTCTTGGGTGTAACATGTATACCTGTATCTTCAGTTTCAGTGAGTCTTCTGCCTTTTAAAATGTTGTCAGTTTATTTTTTAAGGTAGGTAAACCTCAAATTCATTGGCTAAAGGAAAACTAAGCTTCAGACTGGTAGGGTTTTGGGAACCTCAACTAGTTAGTGTTGAATATAAGAAATGGAAAGCAAAGACCTGGAAAATTAAATTCAAGTTAAGGTAATTGGTAAAGCAAAGAAAAATCCTAATCTTCCTTTTAATTTCTTGATTTCAGAGATTCATTGCCTCCAGCCAAGAAGAGGAAGCACATGCAGACACTGGAGGACTCCGGGGACTGCGCAGTGTGGGCCCACCCCTGCAGACCAGGTGAGCAAACCCGGGCCACGATGAGGCTGAGGCTATCGCAGCGTTGGCCTTTGGATCACAGTTTTGTACAGGGCTTTGAACAGTCCTACAAAATGATGTTCTTTCTCACACAAGGGCAGCGAGAGGCTCGAGGAGTTTCTTTCTTTCCTCTTTCATGCAGTTTGGGTCATAGCAGCACCTGCAGGAAGAGGTTTCCTTCTGTTTCTTAGTGTGGGAGAAATGTCAGCCTTTCAATTTCAGGAACAAGTCTCAGAGGACCTAGGCTCCAGGCCTGGGGGAATGGCACAGCACTTTTGAGAACCTGAGGGTGTGACTGTTGCTTTGTTCTGTGCCACTTTCCTTCATTTTAACACAGGAAATGACATGGATTAACACAGAAATCTTGGCAGAAATGCAGATTATAGCTGAATAAATCCAAGTGAGGGTCTGAAATCTGCATTTCTAACACGTTTCTAGGTGATATCAATACTAGTGATGTTTGGAAGATACTCTGAGATGCAAGGCTGTGGCTTAAAGTCTCCACTGAAAGGCTGCACATTGGCAAGTTTCCAGTAGATATTTGAAACTTTGTAAAATTATTTTAGAAGTCTTCCATCAGAACCATCTGAGGTCAAAATGGTCAGCCTATTTAGATCTTGGTCCTGTGTAATATGCGATACATTGTGTTGTGAGCTTGGAGACCTGACCAACATGGAAACAGACTGGCTTTTTGGAGTCTGAAGACTTAAACTTTTAGAACCTTCCATAGTCCAAATGCCACAGCATTTTATAGGGAAAAGGATAAATCTTTGGGCCAACTTTATGAACTACTGTAAGTAGGCTGCTCTGCTCCATAAGCAGAATGAACAGCACCCCCAATTCACTGTGCCATGAGTCAGCTTGGCAAGAAGTCCAGGGTTTCCTCTTGGGGCTGCTCCTTCAACTCCTGTCCCAAATGTACAGATTTATGCCGCTCTCAAAGGAGATGCATGTGGCTGTCTTACCAAGTGGGTGCTGCTGCCTATGCCTTTAACAGTCCCATGGCTGGACTGAGACATCTGGCTTTACCTCCAGGATGGCCAGATGGGGTCCTTCAGTGGAGGAAGATACCACCCTTTCAGTCAAGTTTAATTTATCACTGTCCTCTGGGAGGTCTGTGTCACAATGGTGCTGGGCTTCCAGCCCTTTTATAAAGAAAGCCTCTTACAATCTCCTTTTCTTTTTTTTTGAGACAGGGTCTCACTGTGCATTCAGGGGTTGGTCTTGGGCTCACTTTGTAGCCCAGGCTGGTCTCAAACTTGCAACGATCCTCCTGCCTCAGCCTCCCAAGTGCTGGGATTACACGAGTGTGCCACCACACCTGGCTTTTTAGCCTCCTTTCCTTTTACATGGATCCACCATGGCCAACAGTCATTTCTCTGCTCCCCACACCTTAGAAACAAAATGCTATTTCAACCATAGCAACATAATGCGCTAATTAGAGTCCCTTTGTGGATAATACAGAGCTCCTTGTCCACCTTCTTATGGAAGATTACCCTAATTTCTTCAGGGATTCCTGTCTCTTTGCCTGCAGCTTTTTTTATGAGTCTCAAATATAAATGCTGAGCAAATTCCTAGCCAGATGAGGGAACCATCTGTTCACTCTCCTGCAGATACACCAGCTCACTGGGGGATATAGGGTAGTCATTTAAACCTTCTAAGAGTTTCCTCAGTGGACCAGATTGTTGCTCAAATCATTCTAAAGTTAACCTGCATCCTGAGATGATGGTCTGCTGCTGTCTGTCTGTGATGGACAAGACACTGATTTTTTTCATCATCTTTGGAGAAAGCTTAGGGGGAGCAATTGAAGAATCCCAACAGTGAGGAATCCACGAATCTCTTTCCTATTTAAAGGTTACTGAAAAACTGACTAAAAATAATAGTTGCCAGACAACTGTTCAAGAATAAAAATGAGCAGGTTCACAGGAAAAGGGATGGGGGATGAAGGTAAGAACTTAGTCCAAATACCATGGTTTTTCCTTTTCTTTTGTCTTTTTTGAGACGGGGTCTCGCTATGCAGTTCAGGCTGGCCTTGAGCTCATTTTGTAGCCCAGGCTGGTCTTGAACTCACAACGATCCTCCCACCTCAGCCTCCCGAGTGCTGGGATTACCACGCCAGCCACCACGCCTGGCTCAAAATACCATGTTTTCATCACCACTTATATTTTTCGCTAACGTGTTCTTATAGGTGGTGATCACCTATTTGATGTTGCCAGGTTTTTACAAGGTCTTAAAGAGAGTACACATTGGTGGAGGAAGGAAGAGCTTCAACCATGTGTATAGACGGGATCAGGATTGCCAGTTTTCTATGGGAAAAAGACATTCTAAATCAATTAATAAGGTTTCCTAATGACTTTCTTTCTTCTAGGCAACAAACATTGGTTCCAAGAGTCCATTTGTAGCATCAAATGCACAGTTACCAGGTTGTTGTGAGCAGATGTAAAAATCTTGTTTGGAAAGCAACCTGCTGATGAGCAGGCTCTTATTAGCTGGTTTTTGGCTCCACTTCTCAAATGAAAGGGGTTTCCTGGCCTCATTGGCCTGTTTTGACCCTTTTATAGTTTTAACCTCAAATATGAAAGGGTTTTCCAGCCCCGTCATGACCTTTGGCCCACAGTGAGAGGTACACTGGCTGAATTCACCCTAACGAGTCAGACAAGTGCCTATATTGCCTCTAAGACTGAGACACTCACAGCGTTATTTTTCCTTAGCAAATGAGTCATAATTTCTATGTCACTTATCTCTGAGAGTGTTAAAAGCAAAGTATGCAAGATATTTTGAAAAGCATTCAAATGCAAGTTGTCATTTTCCTCTGAAGGTTGGAAGCTGGGCAGTTTATTATGTTCACACTTCTTCTGTGTGTTAGCATTTCTCCTGTGATCCTCAGATAACTTGAAAGGAAGACAATTTGAAAAACCACTCTCTTTCGCTTAAGCCCTGTGACGCTGGGCAAGTTATGTCAGATCTTTGTGGCTTAGTTTTCACATCAATGAGATTAAGAATCTTTGCCTCATACACTTTAGAAATCTTTACTAGCATCTCCTGAAGGGTATCCTACAAACAGTGATTCCATACCCAGGAATAAACCTAGCAGAAATGTGTGTACATGCTCTCCAAAGACAATGTGCAGGAATGTCCACCACAGCATGACTCATAATAGCCACAAACTGGCCATTACTAGTAGCAAATGGCCACTAACAACAGTGTGATTTGTGGCACATTTATATGACGAGAAATCAGTGAAAATTAACAAGTAGCTGCTGGTGCAGTAATAATGCATGAAGCTCATAAACATAACATCAGGCCACAGAAGCTAGGACATAACAGGTCATATAATCGTATTCCATTGCTGTAAGTTCTCCTCTGCTGTTAGATTTCAGGACAATGGTCAATCTGGGGAAGAAAAAGTAATTATTGGAAGGGGGCATGTGGGTATCTCCTAGATGACTGAAAGTATCCTACGGTTTGACCATGTGGTAGTTGAATTCGTTCATGAACAAGTATAAAATCATGTGCTCATGATCTGTGTCCATTTATTCTTGTATAGAATACTTCCATAAAGGAAATTTATTGAAAAAAATGATCCTCCCCTTAGAGGTAAGTTAAAGAGTTAAGAACAGTGGCTGTGGTATAGAAATGACTCAGAATAGTAACTGTTATGATTAGAAGGAGTAGGAAATCCCAGCTCTGGTCTCAGAGTTGGTATTTCAATGTGGGCCTATGTTTCCCAGGGCCTTTCCAGTAGATAAGCAACTCCTAGGGAAGCCACAACTATGTAACTCTGTTTGAGTGGCTGCTCTGATATCTTCGCTGTATTGATGGGAAAAAGCAGGTAATGCCATTATCTTTGAGGACAGTGACAATGGCCCTGAATTCCTGACCACTGTCCCTATTAGTGTCTGGTGGAATAGAGCTGGCCTATGGCCATGCAACATTGGCCTGACTGCCACAGGGCTTATGTCAGCTGGTATTCAGCTGGGAACATCTGATAGTTTTTTTACATTAGCCAGAGTAGCTGAAGGCCAAGAGTGGAACTATTCCCCATGGCTTCTTAGGAATACCTAAGTCATGTGGCTGAAACAGGATAGGCATACTACCAGGGTCACTAATGATACCTAAAGGTGGCATTGTTTAGATGCTCCCTGGTGGCAGACAGCTGGTGGGCTAAGCACTTTGTAGACACCTCCTCACTGAATCCCTTCAACAACTCTAGGAGGTGGCATATGATTATTCCCTTTCTATGGATGCGAACTCAAAGCTCAGAGAGAATAAATAATTTGCCTGCGAGTGTTTAGGTATCAGGCGTATTTAAGTCTCACATTGATCTTTCTTGACTCTCTCTGTCACAGCAGAGAGGAAGGAGAGGAGGAAGAGCTAGTTTCCTGCTTTCTTTGAATTTGGTGGGAGCAGAACTATGAAATGATTTTATTTTCGTGATTTTTTTTTTTTTTTTTTTTTTTTTTTTTGTCTTTTTCCTTTTTATCGGTACCAGGGATCGAACTCACGACTGCCTGCTTGCAAGGCAGGCACTTATGCCGCTGAGCTAAATCCCCAGCCCCCGTGATTTATTTTTAAAAACATTGTAGGCCAGGTAGCTTTTGGAGGAGTAAGGACACGTGGAGGTCCTTGCAGTGCCCACCTCCGGTGTTATTAGATGGGAAGAAATTTCTTTGGGGTTCCAAGAAATCTCTTTTGTACAGATGTTTTACAAAGACTAATATATATATGTTTTGCTTAGGTGACACTTAATGATGAGATTCCAGGAAAAAGAATTTTCCTGTAACATTTGAGAGCAGTTCAATTTGTTTATTTTATGAAGTACCTTGTGGAAATGTAAAGGAACAGTCAGAGGAGTAAAATAAAACCCAGCGCCTTTCTCCTGCATCTGCCGTGCTGCAGGCTGGCGGTGCATTCAGGAGAAGCAAACATCTATTTCCGTGTTATTGCTGATGACCTGCACCTGGTCACCAATGCCAACCATTTCTCCTTCACTCCTGATGTCAGGCAAAAATGGTGGTAAGAATGTTAGAAAGAAAGGAAACAGCTAAAGTACCAGTCACATTTTACGTGAAAACTGAGGTTAAATCCTATGGTTTGGAAGGCATACTCAAATTAAGACAGACAACTTTAACGGTTATGCAAAAATAGTGGCTGGCCATGTAAAATTGCTGTTATTGACCATTTTGAACAAAAGTGGCAATTTCTTATGCTGATACTACATACTAACGAGATCTGTTACTTTCTCTTGGTTTTAACTTTGGAAGTGCTTTCACTTGTATTGTTCTCTGCAAGATGAGCAGCACATGTGTTCAGTTTCTATTTTTCAGTTGAGTGAAGTAAGACCATAAGTGAATAAGTCATCTAAATTCAAAAAGCTTTTTGGAACATCAGAATATTGGTGCCACAAAGACCTGCAACAAATTAGGATATATTGCCAAAATTAACAACAACAAAAAACAAACATACCAAAAAACCCCACTAAAACTAAAAACCTCAAACTACCCTAAGCAATAAAGCAAAGCCAAAACCAAACAAAAATTCAGGGAATCTACTGGCTCCTGTAACTTAAACATTTAGTACTGCTCCCAGCTTAAATCATTGTCAAGCTTGGTTGTCTTTCATCGTGAATTCTCTCTTCTGCTATGCTGGCTTCATGCCCACAGGGCCTCTCCCCTCATATCCTCAATGGTGCCAGCAGCTCTTAGGAATGTATCCTGTAGGTTTAAACCTCAAGGAGAACTGTGAGAATCTTGAAACCTGCATTCTTTGGAAGTGCTGAGATACCTCTACTTGAATCAGATTAGGCCATGCAGTCATCCTCAATTAAAGTACTGAATGTTGTACTTTGATTGATCAAGCCTGGGTCATTTGCCTTCCTGGGGGGACTGGGACCACACAGTGGAGGTGAGGAAATACTACACAGACCCTCTTACAGATCACTGTGACAGCAGGCTGCTCTCCTTATAGACGAAGACACAGGGCAGCAGCATTCCTCTTGCCCCCCAGAATTTGGCACCACCCACAGGCACTCTACCCTTAGAAGCGGCCTACTCATGAACTCTGTGCAGCTGCCTATGAGTCTGGGGAGAAAAGTCTAGTAGGAAGAATGTAACCTACTGGTTCCATTGCAGTGACAAGTAGGAGTCACAGCAGCAGAGTACGGGACCATGACAGTGAGGTCCAGAACGGGATGCTTGCGGACCAGGGCTCCCCGGCTCTGAAGTGGCAGCCGTACCAAAGTGTTCCTTGGCATAGCTTATTAAACTGTCATCATGAAAAACTGTAAGTGGTCTTAGCAACACCTTGGTGTGAGTGTGTGTGTGTGTGTGTGTGTGTGTGTGTGTGTGTAAAGAACAATTAAATCTCAGCATGAGGGCTTGGATGGTACCCCTGGTCAAGGGGTGGATCAATGACCTTTTCCACCTGTGTTTTGCCTCTTGACTAATGAATAGCTGGGACGTAGGTTTTTGGCTTTTGGGAACCCAGAATTGTAATTCTAACTCATAATTTACCCACTAAATGCTGGAGGGAAAGGGAATTTTTCTGGGACCACATGTTTAATTTAAGTTGGAAAACAGAATTTCCCCAAATCACTAACATTTACTCACTCAGTCAGTTTCGAATACCATAGAGGACACTGTTGGGAGCCAAGTGAAATTGTTATTAGCCAGTGACTACCCTGAACATCTGTACTGTGAATCAGTGTTTCAGGCTCACTGTCAACATACCCTGAATGTTTTGAGTGGTTAGCTTTTTAGCTATAGCCACTGGTTTCTTTACATTCAGAGGCTGAAATGAAAGCATGCAAATTATTCTAAAACTAGCAAAGTTTTACCATATTTTGTTTTAAAAATAAATGTGGACTCATGCATTATTGATATTAACCTTTCAACCATCACTTACTTCCTTAAGACACAATTTGCCTACCTAAGTTTTCTATACTTTTTCTTGCTTATAATAATGTTTCACATTAAAATATGCCAGTGGCTAAGTAGGATTTTCATTATAAATATAATATAAAATTAGAAATTTTGATTGATAAATTTGAGGGCTTTCTTGGTATTTTACAAAAGTTTATTACTAGAACAAAGCAAAGCTTATTACTAGAACATTTATGTTGGATAAACTAGAAGGAAGAAATATTTCCTTAAAACAAACTATATGAAGTTACCCAGACTAATTCTCATAGCTGAGTTGTAAATCAAACCTTGTTTTAGAATTTTTTTTCACAAAAATTTCCTTTGGTTTTCTCAATGAACACAGATCTTATTGCTCTCCATATTAAAATCTATGCAATTCTGTCCATCTGGCCTTTAGAAGAGCAAATTAGCAGATTAATTCTAGCAACCTGGGTCAATATAAAGTTCCCAGGTAACACCATACATGTAGGTTTATCAGATTCTTATTCACTGGATTTCCCTTTGCTGCTGGTGTGCACTGTGACTGTGAAGTTTCTGACTAAGCAGCTACTTGAAGGTGATCAATGAAACAATGACTTGATCCTTCGGGGAGCTATTTTACGTGAATTGCAAAGGACATGAACACTGTTTTCCCCTGAGGCCCATTAATAGTTTGTTTCTGGAATTAGAGCAAAAATTAGGAACTTAAATTGTGTATTATAGTGGAAAATAGCCCATTTGCGATCCCAGGAGGCAAAGATCTACCCAGTAGTAGAGCAGTGAACATTTACCTCCTCCACTCATGGTTTGGAGAAAGTGCTTCTTTTCTGAGGGGAAAAAAAAATACAGTTATAGGAATATTGCTGAGTTAAAATGTATGTTCCATACTATAATATGAATGGAGAACCCACCAAAAAAAGCATTTCTAATTTTTATATTCTCTTCTCTACTTGAAAACATTATGTATTTGTTTTATTTTTATTAACATTTTAAAGTATTTTTAAAAGCATATGCTGCATACTAAGTATTTCTATTGAAAACAGCAATGACAAATACAGCAATAGTGTAGTTAATTCTACTCCTGCTCCATTTTCCTTCCTAGCAGAAATCACCATAGTAAGTTTTCAGTATTGCAACCAGATTGAAAGAATAAGAGGAAGTGAATATACTCTAGTGAAAACAGATTTCCATCAGTAGAGTGTTTGGTTCTAGTTAATTTAATTTAAAGCTATTCTAAACCATCAATGGACTGAATATGCATTCATTCATATTCATACTACTGAGTATGGTATCGCTGATAAAATTTAGAAACTTGTTTTTAAAGAGAAAAGAGATTAATTCTCTCTCAGATATTTCTTAGTAATGTTATGACTTTGCAATTTCTAGCCTATATCTTTCTACTGAATTGTGGAGTCAAATTAAAAGTGTAGAAAGCACAAAGGAGAAAGACAGATTGAGGAAATAATGCTTCCATTTGGCAAAAATTGTACTTTTTTGCAAGAAAGGAAAAAAACTGGGAGAGAGCTAGCTGTTTTGAAAGATTATCTTAATTTTGTCTTTAAGAAAATTAAGGGATTAATGGATTAGATATAGTAAACATTCCATTTTCTTGAAATGTTTATACAGTGGATATTGTAAAAGAAAATGTGTTGAAAATATTTGTAAAATTGGTTTCTTGATTCCTTTCTTCGTAGACCTGATGTGGGCTATCGAGTTGTTACAGACAAAGGATTTAATTTCTCTCCAGCAGATGAAGCTTTTGTTTGTCAAAAGAAGAACCATTTCCAGATAACGATCCACATCCAAATTTGGGGAAGTCCAAAATTTGTTGAAACTCAAATGGGCCTAAAGCCAGTAGAAATGTTTTACTTGAAAGCTTTTGGAATTAAGGTAAAATTTTATTTAGTTCAATTTGCATTTAATCGACATTAGTAAGTTCCAGTTGTCCACTGTTGCATAATAAACCGTCTCAAAATTTAGTGATTTAAAATAATAGCAATAATTTATCTAACTCACAAATCTACAGCTTGTGTAGATGACTAGTCATATCAGGCATCATCCTCGGGGCAGCTCTTCTTGGATACCTTCAAGATGGCATCTCTTATGCTTATTACATTTAGGCTGACATTGGCTGGAGCTCAAATGCCTTAGCTCTTGCCCACATGTACCTCTTTATGGGATAGCTTGTGCTTCCTCACAGCATGGTGGATGGGTTTTAAGACTAACTGTTCCAAGATCCAGGAGGTAGAAGCTGCCAATTCCTGAGCTCAGAAACTGGCACAGCATCACTTCAAGCTGTAGTTTTTCTAGTTCTCTGTATGTAAGTCTCATACTTCTTTTATTTATTCTTATTTTATTGTTATTGATGCTGGTGCATTTTCTCTTTCATTCAATGTATTTATATTTTTATTAGTTCATAATGCTTCCATTTCTCCTGGGGAATTGATGTGTTCACCTAACATACCTTAATTCCTTTTATCATCTCCCTGCCCTCCCACCTCCCCCATTCTTCCATCTGTTGATCATTTTCCTCTTGTAGAAAGTTCATTTCCCTACTTCCTGTCTTGTATTTTTTGCTTCACTCTTTTCTTACTCTTTGGGTTTCTAGTATAAGAGAAACAAAGCATGTGGAAGAGATTCACAATTTTTACCAGATTCTCAGAATTCTCTGATTTAAAAGGAGCCAGAGAACACTAATTTAATCAACACTTTTTTTCCACAATTTAAGAGAAGGGAAACTGAGGCCCAGTGATGTTAGTCAGTTTATCTAGGATAGCAGATGATTGAGCTGGGTTTAGAATGCAGGCAGTGTGACTAGGAAGTCGAAGAGTATTTATTAGGTTATTACTGCATATCCAGATCCTTAGGAGGAAAAGAATCCACTATCTACATTATTTCAGTGCAATGATTAACCTGAGCTTGGGCATGAAATCTCCTAAAATTGGGTTAGCTACTGAACTGAGCTCTTTAAAAATAAACCAGTCAACAACAGAACTCATTTTTCTGATTATGTGAATAAAATGTCAGTTGTGACTATTCTGATACATAATAGAAATATAGGCAGACAAAATTAAGTCATATTTGGGATCTGCCTTTTGGTGGTCTAATTTTTCCTGTTGTTAACCCTCGTAATATCAATATAATATTGATATTATTGAGGGTCCCATAGAAATATTGTTTACAAAGATAATAGAATTTTCCTTGGTATGAATATGTAATATTTATTCTTAATATAAGTTTCATTTATTTCTTAAACTTGTTTTTTAAATTTTAAAGATGGTAAAATCCAACAAAACAAGATAGAAAAAAGCCAATCAAAACAATGCAGCAGAATTGGTACAGAACTTCAAAGCAAGATACCAGAAAAACAATAATAGCTACCATAGTATATTTTGTTATCTTCATAATAGTTGTCCATTCCATCAGGTATAGCAAAATCACACAAAAAAACCCACTATAAAATCAATCAAAACAGAACATTGAATAAAGCAAAACAATTAATCAGAACAAAGCAAAACAATGAAAATAATATTTTACTTCAAAGACAAGATAGAAGGGAATCCCCCTTATTTGCTATATGCATCCTGTCATCCTCCCAAGAGATGCTCAAGCCACTGGCCCCAGGCCTGCATAATCAACCAAACAGTACAAGCATCCAGTTGCTTTATGTACCTTAGTTGCTGAGCTCAGAACTCAGGCTGACCTCAGAATGATCCAGTAGCTTGAGGCAGTGGCAGGGAGGGATACAGATGCTGTTTGATTCGCTATCCATGTGTGATAGGCTCACAGGAGGTACTGTCTGACTGTTCGCTCCCTGGAGTGCACATGGCTTGCACAGCTTACCAGGAAGGCTGGCTAGTTGATTTCTTGGTTCGTCCCCCAAGTCCCAGCATGGCCAATTCTCTGGAGATGCTGACTTTTCTCTGGAGGGAGGGCGGCTTGCACAGCTTACTAGGAATGTGGCAAGTTTCACTGATTTCTAATTTTTATGTTTGTTAATGAAACTGCACTAATATGTGTGTGCACACATCTTTGCATGATGATGAATTCCAAAAAGAGAGTTCACCCATTAAAGATATGAAAATTGTTAAGTTTCTTAATTGTTAAGGTTCTAGGCAATTTCTTTCCAGAAAGATTGTTACAACTCTTTAAATGTAAACTGTTTATTACCGGTTGGTCTCATGCCCTTGCTACTTGTTATTCATGGGCTAGCAAGAAGAGTATGTAGCAGATGCTGAATAAATGTCATTTCCTATATGTTTTTATTCTGTATTATTATTTCTTCATGCTAAAATGTAAGCCCCCAAAGAGCAAAGATTTTTGTTAATTTTGTTCATTTCTTCTCTCTAATGCTTAGAGCAGTCCCTGGCACAAAGTAGGTGCTCAATAAATATTTGTAGAATAAATGAACAAATGAAAGAATTTGTGTGTTCTTTGAGCTGCATTGGTCCTGAATATTTCTCCTGTAGTTCAGTCATCTACCATCTCACTGTATTCACTGCTTATTTGGGATGCTGAGTTGTATTGTGGCTTCGTTTTTTGTGGGGAGGGTACCAGGGATGAAACTCAGGACCTCGCACTTGCCAGGCAGGCACTTGTGCCACTGACTAAATCTGAGGCCCTGTATTGTGTTTTCATTATCTAATTTTACAAGGCATTTATTTGTTTTCTCATCAATAACATCCTGCTTGCAGGCAGAGGCCACTGTATTCTGTGTCTTTTCAGTGATTTGCACTTAAATGCTAGAGCCTAACATGATGCCTTGGTGTCTTTTTTTAGTACCTACATATCTGTAGTAGTTAATGTTTATTTAATAAAGTTATTGCTATTAATTTACCTTTTATTGTTGCATACAGGTAGAAGCCACCAATCAAATAATTGCTATTGAACAGTCCCAGGCAGATAGAAGCAAAAGGATTTTCAGTCCTGTTAAGTAAGAATTTCTTTTGTGAATTCCTTGGTCAATGTTTGGGAAGATCTGATGTCTAATTTATTTAAGATGAAACCCACTGTAGAATGTAAAGCAGTAATACTGTAGTAGTTTAAGATGATGCTACCTCAGTTCACAAACTTAATTTGTTCCACAATTTCAGAGAAGATGGCTGCAATCATGTTTGTCACCTGATGTGAGATTCATGAATACAAGAAAAATTTCGCCTAACACTTGTATGTGTGAATTGATCGTGAACAGAAGCATTTGTGAACTGAGGCATTCTATTGTTGTATTGTGAATATATGTTTATCAACAAAAATAAAATTTGTAAAATCATTGGAATCAGTACAAAAATTATTAACAAAAGGATTTAGTTTTTTAAAAAATCTCTTTTATAGTCATTTAGTACTAACACATTGCTAACAACTTTGGTTCCTTAAAGATTATAAGCCATGTCTTATTTTTCCTTTCTCATTTAAATTACCATGATACTGACCAAATTAATTGCAAAGTTCCACTCCATGCCATGCACACAATTCAGTTTTTCTCATTTTTAAGGCTACATTGATAGATGGCTGACAGGCTTAAGATAGAAAGTGTGCACTACTAGTAGTGTGCTCCATAGTGTGGCAGTCCAAAGTCAGGTCCTCTTTTCTTGGACTTGAAGCATGATTCGTGCATTGTCTCATTTGGCTGGGGTACAGTTGAGACATCTCAGTGTCTCGACCCTCATTAACTCCCATGTGAGCTGGAAGAGAATGGCCCAACACTGGACAGACCAGCTTATACAGACCAGGCACTCAAACAAACAGCACTCAGCTTGCTTAGAATGCATGGTTTTCCTTTGTGTGGTATTCTTTTGAAGGAAGTTGCCCACTATTACCAGGCTAAGAGAGGACAAACACAGGAAGGAAAGCCACAGCATTCGTGAGGATCCCAGAGATGCTGCTTGTGCAGAAGCATGTTCTGCATTAATGACACTGGTGCAGTACAAGGCACCTTTCTTTCCACAGTGGAGGTCACAGAGCCCGTATAGTGTGTGTGGACCATATGGCACCAGGAAGCAGAAACTCCAGGCAGAGCGCCTGCTGAGTGAGCCCTTCCCAGTCTCAACTCATTCCGTGACCTTTCCTGGTGGCCGCTCCTGCCTGGGCTGTGGATCAGTGACTAGGAATCAGTGCAAACTCCACTACATTGTGATGGGCACTGACAGCTAAACACCTTGAGAGCCTGAGAGTGGGTTAGATATGATCAAAGGCTCTGTGTTCTCGTATAATCTCTTGGTATTTCTGCTCTGTGTTCTAGAATTGACCTCCTCGCTGATCAAGTCACCAAAGTAACGCTGGGACGGTTACACTTCAGTGAAACCACTGCAAACAACATGAGAAAGAAGGGGAAACCAAATCCTGACCAGAGGTACCAGTATCAGTGTGCACACCAGGAGGGTCAGGCCACCATCTGGCATGAAGTGGCCTCTGGGGACCCCCTGGTCCTCATGTATTCATGCTTTATTACTGTTTGAGGCTGAAGATTGGCCACAGTCCTCAAACTTGTGTGCTGATCCTCAAACACTGCTGTAACCTTCTGATTAAACAGAAAATCCTTTACCTTCATGATTTAGACCTGTGGTTCTCAAAGCATGGTTCCCAGGACCAATGGGGATGGCAATACTTAAATATTTGTTAGAAATGCAGGTTCTCCAGCCTCACCAAGACCCTCTTGACTAAAAAATCTCCACTTGATCTTAGCCAAAAGGCTGAGAAATGATGATGAATAAAAAACTCAACAAGTGAAACTTAGCAATTTGTATCTTAACAAATGCTCCAGATAATTCTGTTTCGGGCTCAAGTTGCAGAACCATTGATTTTAAGCCACAGGTTTTGGTGTTGGGCAGAACTGAGTTTGAACTTTCAGTGCTTCTGTTTGCTTAGGTGAGTGACCTTAGGCATATACTTTAATGTGGCTGAGACTTATTTTCCTATCCTCTAAAACAGGGGCAATAGGGGGCTGGGGATTTAGCTCAGCGGCATAAGCGCCTGCCTTGCAAGCAGGCAGTCCTGAGTTTGATCCCTGGTACCGATAAAAATGAAAAAGACAAAAAAAAAGGGGGGGGGGGCAATAGCAGTATCTTATTCCAATAAAGTTGTTTTGGGGACATAAGTGAAATAATGTAGGCAAACTGCTTCGCCCAGCACTGAACACAGTTTGAGTTTTCAATGGTAGTTAATCACAATAATGGTAACAATTATTGCTGTTACTGATTTATTTTAGACACAGCAAAAGTCCTACAGACTCTATAGGAACAGGAGTTCCCATAGACTATAACAGGGAAGTTGGTAAAGTTTTTTACACAGGTTTTAAATAAAAACTTTCCTGATACAGATTTTTTAAAAGTTTTTTTAGTTGTTTTTTATTTATTTATTTTTTTTTATTTTGAAGGTAGTAAAATACAACAGAACAAGATAGAATAAAGCCAACTGAGATAGTGTAGTGAAATTGGCACAGAATTTCACAGCAGGTTACTGGGATAACAGTAACAGGTAACACAGTGTATCTCATTATTTTCACAATAGTTGTACTTTCAATCACGTATATCAAAATAAAGTGAAATACAGAACATTATAGAACTTATCAAAACAGAATATTGAACAGAGCAGTACCATTAATCAGAATAAAGCAAAAGAGTAATAAAAATATTTGCCTTCGAAGAGATGGTAGAAGGAAATCCCCCCTATTTGCTATGGTCAAACTCCCAAGAGATGCTCAGATCTCTGGTTCCCATTTGCTAACGGGGGGCAAGAGAAGGGGGATAGGGAAGCGTGATGATTGACTCTCAGCCTGTGCACCAGTAGGCTCACTGTTGCTTAGCAGGGAGGCAGGCTAGTTGCTTGGTTTCCCAGCGTCCTACGTTCCAACATGGTGTGGATCTCAGGAGATGCTAGTGGTCCTCCCCCTGGAAGGGCCACAGCCTCTTTTTTTTTTTTAAGTTTTAAAAAACAGTCTAATCCCAAGCTTGGCTCATCAACTGTCCCTGTGAAGAAACAATTCAAATAACAGTGATGAAAATGCCTTGAGAAAAATTGGAGGGAGGCTCAGATCTTTAAGGTCCAAGACATATGGCTTGGGTGTCTCTAGACACAGGACTTCTGGTGGGTTCCTGTTGTGTTTGTGAGCAGTGCTATGCTGAGGCCCAAGCATGCAATGGGTGAGGCCTGGTCAAGTCGTACAAGTGGGCTTAGCCCAGCCCCCAGTGGGACCTCTCTCCAGGGAAAGCTGCTTTCCTGCTGCTTTGGCGCCTGCCAGTAGCACACAAATACCTCCACCCCAGTACACATGGACGGTAGCAAGTACATCAGTAGCTCTTGTGTCATTGGAATGCAACAAAGAGCAGAAGGGAAACGCAAACTTGTCTAGGAAGGTTTACTATTGACTAGTGGGGGTGTTTGATCACACCAATGATGCCTCTGCTCTCCGATGTGCTGATATTGGTCTGCTGGTTCTGAATTAGGTACTTCAAATTGGTGGTTGGACTATATGCTGCTCACCAAGACCAGTTTTATATGCTGTCTGCCCATGTCTCTGAAAGGATCATTGTACGGGTAAGCTTTGTTCTTTGCTTTTTCAGAATTCCACTTGATTTTCTCTGCTGGAGGAAGAATTTGAGTTCTCAATGACGTACTTAAGTATTTTTTTTATTTGACGGTGGTAATAATGATGATGGTGATGATGGTGATGATAAGCAGAAACATTTATTTTAGTGTTCACACAGTGGTTTTCAACCGATGTCAATTTTGTCCCTCAAGAATCTTATGGTAATGTCTGGAGTATTTTTGGTTGTTGCAACTGGCATCTAGTGGGTGGAGACTAGGGAGTGATATTGCCCAACACTGAACAATGTACTGGGCAACTCCACACAAAGAATTATTCCTCCCAAATGTTCATGGTGCTAGGGTGGGAAATCATAATTTTTACAGTATTTGAGGGCTGAGCTAGACAATCTGTACATGAGATCACTTTACACTGTTACACATTTACATTATATTGGTTACCCCCACAGGAGTAAAGAACTGACTCCCCAAACCTACAGAGTAGGGAAAGTTCTATGAAGGCTTTCTGTGCCCTAGTGGGCCCTGGGCATCTGGGCCACAGTCTGGCACACGGGAACGGCTCAGCACATTGTGCTGAGTGGTCACAGCTGTGGATGAGAGACTTGGCAGCCACAAGAAAATAAAGCTGTTGGCAGCTGCAGCTGCAGCTGTGTGAGGCCAGGCTGGCCACTGCTGAGAATGCCAGAGGCATTAAGTAACAGGTAACCACAGGCCTAGCACCCAGCAGGGGCCGTGCTGTTGTAGGTCTTTGAAATGATGACGGAGGATGTGCAAATTCCAGTAGGGAAAAGCATTCACTGAGGGCATGCCCACGGGTGTGACTGTTAACTGCAGGCCCTGGGGAAAAGGCCCTGCAGTCTTGGGAAGTGGTGTCTGTCCTCACCAGCCTCAAACTGTCCTGAAACAAAGGGCTCTCTGTAATTTTTTTAGTCAATTAAAAATAATACGCTGCCTAGTGGTGGAAATCCTTCAGTTCTTAAAACTTTATAGGCAGTGACGTATGGGAGAATTGAGGTGAGGTGAACTACGTATGTTCAGATATCTGCATGTGAGGGCTGGCCACACACACCCTTGGACCTGATATAAACTTGGGTAACTAAGGCTCCTCTAAGGCCATACGGGAAAGCCCTCTCTTTTGGCCATAAGCCAACACAGAGACGCCTGTCCCTGCCTCACTGAGTCGGGCTGTCTTTGACATCTTGCCTGCTGTAATCTGGGAATGATTTGCTGTCAAGTGTGGAAGGCTAGGTTGCTGGTTGTTTCCAATTTGTCTTCAGAAAGAATAAATACAGACAATGCCTTTCTTTTCCAAGCTATCTCATGACAGTGCTGTCCTGAACTGTGTGACTTGTGCTGGATCCAGGCAGTCTGCTAGTCACCTGCTACTTTGAGTAATTCACTGACAGGACTTCTCCATTCTTGCAGGCAAAGCTCTGCTGGGGCTGCTGTACAAGTTCAGAACAGCAACAGAAGGGAGGCAGCTCTGCTCTGTGGAGCTCTTTTTAGCAAAAAGCTGTCTGCTGGTTGGCACCTCCTTATATTCAAAGAGCAAAGATAATTCACTCTGAGAAGTCAAAAGTTTCTGTAATTCATGTTCAGAATGAATATAAAAATATTAAATTGCTATTTACTAATAAAATGCCATTTACTAATAAAAAGTCATAAAAGTAGATTTTGTTTATATATTTACTTTGTCTTTTTGAGACACATTTTAGGCTGGCCTTGAACTCACTTTGTAGCCCAGAATGGTCTTGAACTTGTGATGATCCTCCCGTCTCAGTCTTTTGAATGCTGGAAGTGTGCTACCATCCTGGCTACATTTTTATTTTTAAAGTGATTGTATCCCAAGTTTCATAGCTTCCACCTAAGTCTCTTCTTTGGTTAAAGAGAATACCTTGTTCTGTAAGTGTGCTGAGTGATACAAAAGTTATCCCCAAAATAATGAGAAGAAAATGTAATGCTAATGCAAACCCTTTGCAACTGCCAGCTGAAATTACATCATTATTAATATTATCATTCTAACCTCCAAACACAGAAGTAAAAATGAATGCAAACTTTTTAGCTTATTTAATTAACATTTAAACTGCCCAAGAATGTAAGAAATGGCATTTTTGTTTGATTTGGAGAGTCTTAGAAATGTGCATAGTCTCAAGGGGGATGTTTGGGCACAGTGCATCCAGTGATGGCAGCCTCTTAGAGCTTTCAGTGGTATAAGCAGCCCTCTGTAGCACGCGTGCCACAGGTTGGCCACCGCTGGTATATACAGTGGGTTGGGCAGAGGGTCGATCATCCTGCATCCTACACAATAGCTGAATGTAGCCTCTTGGGCTGTAGCCTGATTCTGTTAATCTGAGCAGCATAGTGAAGGACAGAAAGACAAATTTAATAATTAAAGACATTACGAGACCTGATACAGTAAGGGAAAAGCTATAAACTGCCTTTAGTAAAGCCAAATTCACTTGCAGACTAAGAACCATTCCTCCCAGCCTTAGAGATAAGTGTTGTATTATGTGGCGAGGCCACTGTATGAGGACTACGCACTGATGAGGCTCAGGCTTCCAGGAGGGATCCAGGACACCGAGGTTCTCCTTGGAGAGAGAATGGTGGGCAAGACCCAGTAAGTGAATTGTTCATATGGGGTTTCAATTGAAGCAGCTTTGGAAATACATTATGTTCCTGTGGTGTAAATTGGGCAATTTAATGGAAATTAAGGTTTACTGCAAAGAATAGATTTATTTCCCAGGTCTTTGTTTTTGGGAGTGTTCCCCAGTGGAGTTCTTCAGACTCCCCTTGGTAATAACTAGGTTTTACTTTGGCTCCACTTTCCTTCCGAAACACTTAATTAAACCTGGTTTGAGTGCTGTTGCAAGCAGGAGGGATGATTACTTTTGTCTGCCTTTCAAAGACATTCTAGGATTTTCTCATTTTGAAAAACTATTAAGTGATTCCAGTTTCATTCCGAGAAGAACAGAAATGGCCACATCCTCCGATCTCTCCTTTCCCTCTCTGCAGCCACACTGAATGTGGGAGACCAACATTTAGGAGGAAGGAAGAGACGAGACACAGTGTAGTCACATGCATGGAAAGGGATGGGGACAGAGCAGCGCAGCCTCTGTACCCACTCATCTTCACTGACTCTTGCCTATTTCTGACCACTGTTCTACTTTCTGTGTCTTTCGTCTGTCTGTCTGTCTTCACACACACAAACCCCTTTCCTGGAGATCAGATGAATGTTTGCCGAGTATATGCTTCGCTTGTACTTCGAATTCAACAGAGCTTTCCTTTGAATTCCACAAATACGGGCACTGTGGCCCACCTCCAGAGTTTCTGACTTAATAGGTCAGGGATGCCTGAATATATGTACTTCTGAAAAGCTACCACAAAATGCTGGTGTGCTGACTATAGACAACCCCTTGGGTGGCACTGATAGACAGTTTTTCTAGACCCATTTTTGGTAACTCTTTCAAAAGCTGTAAAACTTGATTTCCTAATTGCTACCTCAGATCAAGCTCTTCTTGTTACCTTGTTGGCTGCTTCTTTAGAATTCCAAACAATGGTAAAGCAAAAACAACATGCAAGCAAAACAAAATACAAAAATATTCCAGCTTTTCATTCTCTATTTAGAACAGGCCTGAAATCACTGGTGATACTGATTCCTATTCCAAATACCTGCAGGGGGCACCCTTTACATTGGTTTCTTTATGAACAGAGTGCCAGGGGGATTGTGGGATGCTGCAGGTGATTGCTGAGAACAGATTAAGCGATTACTGGTTAAACACTGATTGCTGTGCTCAGTAGAGCACATTGAGGGATAAATTTATGCCTATTTATCCTGATTTTTGCAAACTGTTCATGTGCACATAATTTCAGTTAATCCCACAATAACCCTCTGGAATGGGTAAAGAAGAAGACATGATTATCTTTATTCTACAGATGAAGATACTGGTGCAGAAAAATTAATCACTGTATCAAGATCACATGACCAGTTGGTATCATAACATAACACTAGAGTGTTCAGGTCTTCCCTAAATATATTAGGCTGTGAAACAAATAATGTAAAATATTTTAGAAGCTTTATTGGATTCATTTGGTGCTTGGTACCTGCCAACCACTATTAGACTACATAGGAACAGAAACTCAGAATTCTGGAAAAAGATCATGCATTGCAGTTAGCTTTCATCATGAAGACTGCAGAGTACAGAAAGGGGAAATACACTTATAGATCTTATAGTCATATTTTCATTCCTGACAAAGGACTCACTCTCTAGGGCTATATATATATAACAGAACACTATAGGTCAGGGGCTGTTTTCCAAAATGATTTGAACATATTTTAGAGATTTGAGATTTCACTTGATGAAGGCCAAGTGGAATAGTGTAATTGTAACCAAAAAAATCAATTCTACTTAAATCTGCTGTTCCAGTATTGAGTTACCAGTATGATAATAATTATCCCAAAGCTCATTAACATCATCAACAGCAAAAAATCTATCACTGTCCTATTTTGTTTCTATGGAGCGGCTCATTATGTCCAGCATAGAGAAAATACATTAACGTTTTCCTCAGCATACCTGTGGATGTAGTTGATTGCTCACTATGAAAGGGTTTGAGACAAAGCCAATTTGGCATTCACATTCAAGGGACTCCAGGGATCTTGCAGAAAATCTCTTTATTCAAGAAAATTTACGTAAGATAACATTGCTTTATATTCTTTCAATGCTTTTATCTATCAAATATCCATGTTTGAGTATTCTAAGAAAACTCACAGTTCAAACAGGGGGAGCTAAAAATAGGAAGTCAAAGACACCTCAAAGTTCTTTAGCTGAACCCAAACTAAGAACTATGCTTTGTGTTTCCTTGTAGTTATTTTTTTAGTGGGTCACACATATAGCAAAACATTCAAATAATACCAAGAGAGTATATGGCATATGAATTTCCCTCCTGCCCCAGCTTCTAGGCGTCCAGTCTCTCATCCATGAGGAAACCTTTGCTTCCTGAGCGGTCTTCAGAGATAAGCTCGAGTGTTCAGGTGCTGTGCTGGCAAAGGCTCAGAGACTACTTGCAAGATAAAAATTGAAATCACTGTTAGTGCTGACTTGCTAGAGGGTTAGGATCTCAATCGTTTTGATTTATAACCAACTATCTCAAACACATAAAAATCACATTGATAGAACACCATTTCAAAAGCAAGTTCATTTTCTTGTAAGAATTTTGAGGGATTTAGAATTCTCTACTTAAAGATATTTGGAAATAGTTTCAGCAGCCACAGAGAAGCAGGGAAAAGGGAAGGCAGTGCAGTGGAAAATATTTTGGTCAAGAATTTTATTTCAGAGTCACTGGGCATAGTGGTTTGTAATCCCAGCACTTGGGAGACTAAAGAAGGAGGATCACTGTGAGTTCAAGGCCAGCCTGGGCTACAAAGTGAGTTCAAGTCCAGCCTGAACTGGGTAGCAAACTCCTGTCTCAAAAGACTGAAAAAAAAAAAAAAAAAGTAAAATGTTCAGAACTTGATTAGTCCCAAAGTCTGCTGGGTATACTTTTTGGCAACATCATAAAACAGGTAAAGTTAGTCCTTATTTAATAATCAGAAGTAGTATATGGAGTTGGCTCCAGAATTTATTAGCTACATGTTCTTGGGCAATTTATCCTTTCAGAGTGTCAGTATCGGTAAAATGAGGATAATAGCACCTATACCATAGAATTGTAGTGTGGCTTAGCACACAAAGTCTTGTTATTATGCTTGCTTCAGTATCATCTGTGTTTCAGGGATAGTTCAAGTATTGTAAATATACCTGTATTATTATTTGTTTGTCAATTGTGTATGAAATCACAAAGATGAGTACTTTGAAACTATAAAGGACGAATGAAATGTAAGGTATTTTTATTTATCTGAGCTTTACTAGAAGCATATGATATTCTTATTTTAATTTATTATTATTATTATCCCTAAAAAGAGAGTCATCTGAAGTTTTCTTCTGCTTCTTCATCATCCACTTGGGATAACTGATCACATTCTCAGTTCCAGAAAAATACAACAGAGACTGAATGTTCCGAGCCACAGCATACAGATCTCCTGCCGTGGGGCACAGGGTGGTCAGGGAACATCTTCCTTGAACTCCTGGGGGCTCAGTTATTCAGATTATGTTGAATTCTACCCAGTGCAGGAATCTCATGCAAAAGATTTAAGTAACATTCTGCTTTCCTTTGCACGGAAGACTGATGATTGTCTATTCTTGCTACCGTAACTTTAATGTAATATGTTTATGTACTTTTCCAGGCTTCTAACCCTGGGCAGTTTGAAAATGACAATGATGTATTGTGGCAGCGAGGACAAGTCCCAGAGTCTGTTGTCTGTCATGGTCGAATAGGAATAAACACAGATACACCAGATGAAGCCCTGGTTGTCTGTGGCAACATGAAAGTGATGGGGACAATCATGCATCCTTCTGACAGCCGAGCAAAGCAGAATATCCAGGAGGTGAGTTCAAGGGGTAGGCTGCGGATCATGGGATTGACCCAGTCAGAACTGAAAAGCAGAAGCATCTCAACTGCTTCTCAGAGAAAGATGATTCATGGGGAAGGTGATCTGTATAACTGGTACCAGGGACCTGGGAGGAAGAGGTTGAGAGGTCCTGGGGTTCCAGGTGGAGACCTTGCCTGCTTTGTGGAGACAGTCATCTGGCAGAAATCAGAATCAGGGTTAAACATCAGCAAATCATTTCCTTGCTTGGAGCCTTCCCTGGCCATGTGGCCCTGGATAAAATGCTGAATATGAAAGCTGGACATAGTACTACACACCTGAGGCGGGAGGACTGCATGTTTTGAGCTCACCTCAAGCAATTTAACAACTTATGAGATCCTGTTTCAGAATTTTAAAAAGGGGGGCTGAGGTGGGAAAATAGCTTAGGGTGAAGATCCTGGGTTCAGTCCTCAATATCAGAAAAAAAAAAATGCTGGACCTCATAGAACTGTAGTCTTCTAAGATGGGAATGTGGCTGTTTCCTGACCCTCCTGAGTCTACTCTGAATGTCTCACACAGTTGGGATGAAGCACACTCATCTTGGAAAGTACACTTGCTATGTGGACCAGAATGATTAGGATGACGATTCTAACCCCTGGGCTAGGACTCTCCTGGGTCCAGCTCCCTCATTACTGAAATTGTTTCCTGCTCATTGACCCCACCACCTTTTCGTTTTCTCACTCACTCTGCTTCTTTCAGAAGGATTTCTGAGGCTGTGCAGAATTGTGTTTTAAACTGCTCTCTCTGCTTTCCTTTACTTTTTTAGCTAATAGCAAACCTAATCTGTTAATCGTTGGCCCTTCTTCCCGAATGCATTCCTTTCCCACTGCAAATCTGCATTGGTTATTCTAAACCAGCCAAGGAATGTCCTTCTTTGCTGAGAGAATTCCAAAGAATGGTTGTAATTGTAGACTTTTATGCTAGGAAAGCTGTGGTTCACGTTAGAAGAGCTGGGACCTGCTGGCCAGATGGGAACACAAGACTAGAAAGTTCTCACATACATTTCCAGATTCAGTCCTAGATATTGAGCCTTTGGATTTTAGAGAGAGATAAGCTGTCTGCATTTCAGATCACACCTACTCAAGTGTAGCCTTGCGATTGACTGTACTGTTCCCTACCAAGTCTCACTGAAGTGTAAATGGAATACAACAAGCAGGTAACTTCCTCTGTAACTCACTGCTACCACGAAGCTTGCACATTTGTTCCTTTTGTCAGAAGTCTTCAAGTTTCCTCCTTGATTGAAAGAAAATATATTAATTTAAAATAATAAGATTTTCTGGAACTCTCATATCCCTTTAAAAAAATCTCCATGTAAATAAGAAGCAATGCCAGTCTGGATTCTATAGTGAAATTCTTCTCCTCCCTTTGTGCTCGTAGAAACCGGATGGAATGAAGAGAATTCCAGTCTCTGGTTAGAAGGTTAGAGGTTTATCTTGATTTTGCCAGCCCATGACTCCTTCACCAGGAGGCGATCTATTCTCTTTTGTCTGTGAACAGGAGATGGTCGTAATTATTTTACCCATGTCAAGAGATTTTTCTAAATTCATATATGTGGGGCGTTTATTAATTATACAAGGCAAAGCAATAGTTATTTTTCACTTATACAAAATAAAACTTATATTCATTATATTAATAATTTTATGTTTGTTCTATATACATTTATGAAATATATTTGCCTAGAAAATTGGTCTGTCCCCATTACCATCTATTTCAAAGATGAAAGCAATGAAATAATACTGATAATAGTGCTGACAGATGTGTGAATTTCATCTTCATTTCTCCCTGACTCAGTTTACAGTGTTGACCAGGTTGCTCTTCCCCTCATGAGCTCAAGTGACCCTCCCATCTCAGCCTCTGGGTAGCCGGGATGATAGATGTGTGCCACCATGACCAGCCTTAGTTTTTTGAATTTTTAATTAAAGAGAGAGCCAGTCTCCTAAATACTCTGGAAAACTGGCTGTTGTAACAAAATGTCATGAACTGGGTCCGATGATTTATAAACCATAGAAATTTCTTTCCCTTCATTCCGGAAGCTGGGAGGTTTAAGAGCAAGGTGCTAGAAGGTTCCATACCTGGCAATGGTCTTGTTCTGTGCTGCCCAAGTGCTCCTTGAACACGGGATTGTCACAGGTTGAAGGGATGCGAAGGCCAAAAGGGCTTACCCTAGTTCTCGTCAGTCTTTTATAAGCTCTTGTTCCATTCCTGAGGCCAGAGACCTCATGATTTGATCATTTTCTCCAAAAGCCCCACATCTTAATACCACCACAATGGGGATCAAGTTTCAAGGTGAATTTTGAAGAGAACACGAACATTTAAATCATAGTGACCTGTGGTTGATTTGCATGCACAGAACTGGAGGTGTTTCCCCATTGTCTAAGGATGCATGCCAACCAGAGCCGGCTTCTAGACCAGCTCATCTTGTTCCTCAATTCCATCATCAGGGAGAATGAACACAGATTGCTGTCTTTCCCCGACTGTGTGTCTCCTCATTCAGGGCCACAAAGGTTGCTTGGTGCATTAAGCGCATGATTATCTATGTGGAGATGTTTGGTACTTATTCATACGCACATCCTGGACAGAGAAAAGATGATGCAGGTGTGACTGGGACTTGTGCAGCTGGAACACTAGCAGGTTATGGATGAAGTTAGTGGTGAAAAGTAGCTTAACTTGGCATTGTGTCTACTGATGTGAGTAGAGGCTGGAGAGGGGAACACAGCTCTGACAGTGTGACATGAAAACTCAGCTGAATTCGGAGGAAAGGATCTGCCCCGAACCAACGGCAGTGGGGAAGTGAAAAATATTAATGCCAATGCAAAACAAAAAATCAAAACGAAAAACCATGAGGAAGTTAAAAGTTGAAAGTGTCAAATTCTGTGGAACAATCTGAAAAAAGACAGCAAGCTATTAAAAATAAAACCCAGAAAAAGCAATCAGTTTAGATGAAAGACTCAAAGGTTTTCTCTCCCAGTCACACCGGCCAGCGTGCCAGATGAAGACAAAAGTGGTCGTGGGAAAGACTGAAGAGAGCTAAAATGCAAAGTCATCTTCAGGGCCACGGAACAAAGCCAAAGTTACTCAGCTGTGTGAGCAGACGTCGCTTAAGCTGTGACTGATGTCAGGCCGAGGGTCAGGCTGATGTCAGGCTGTGGGCATAACCAGACCACAGGTAGTAAGATTGCCTTTGCTGAACACACCAGAGTCCTATGGGCTGCAAGGCTTTCTCTCTGGTACAATTCTTGAGATAATAACAGAAACCTTGGTGTGAGACAGCATGATCATGCTGACCAATGCATTCATGACCAAAACTTTCCAAATCTGCTGTAAGATCAACTCAGACCTCCAAATTCAGATTCTAGCTTCTTACTCAACATGTGTTGTTACATTCTGTGCTGGCCTGTGTGGGGAGCCTGAGAGGAGTCCAGGAAAGCACAGTCTTGTCTTAGTCTTGTTTTCTTAGGCCAACTCTGCCCACAGAGAACTTGTAACGTGGCCTGTATCTCTCTGGCTTTGGGATCAATCAGGCTTTGAGAAGTCCATGAGTCAGCATTAAAAATGAGAAGAGCATTCTTTTTGAGGAACACTGAAACAGGAGGTGTTTAGAGCTTCAGGTTGATTCTCAAAATTTTATTTGATAAAACATCCACCCAAAGAACAATGAAAATAGTACTAGAAAACCTAATTCGATGTCTAAAAAGGTCTTTGGGGAAACCAGGGGTCATTTTCCGTCTCTGCCGTGTGGGCAGCCTGCAGGAGGCTGTGGGTGCCCCTGCTTTCCACCTGCAGGAAAGGGACCAGCTCACTTTGCTCTCTGCTGGGCACAGGTTGTGCAGGAAGCAAGGGGGCAATGAGAAAGCAGCACGGGACTGCTGGCACTGTGGGGTGGGCAAGAGGCTGGGCAGTGCCGGGCCAGTCCAGGAGGTGCCCTCATCATACCCTCACTGCCCTCTCTAATTCTGTTAGGAAGTGTTCTGCCATTTCACTATTTTCATCCTTTTACTTCTTTTTTTTTCTCCCCTGAGGATTTTGTCAACTTTTTTTTTTTTTGGCATAATGCAGGTCTTGAGAATAAGATATACAATCCATCCTTTTATTCATCTGAACTTCAAATAAGTGCCTAGGATAGCACCAGTTACACAGGAGCTACTCAGGGAATAATTGTTGAATGAGTAATGAAGCTCACAGTGGTTGATATGTGCACAGAGTATGTGAAATTGTGACTGTTCCTTCCTACTGTGGCCTTAAGTCCTTCCCTGCTTTGGCCTTTATTTTAAAGCCTTGTAATCCTAAACTTTGTCTTGGTTATTCAGTTTTCATTTAGGAGATTTGCTGCTTTGGGACTTGTGTCCTAATGTTTTCTCTGTTTATAATTCTTACATTAGTCTCATTTTTTTTACCCATGCCCTAGTCTATTTCTTTCCTTTACTTGTAACTTAAAATTATCAATGTATTTACTCCACTATTAGTTGAGCACCTACAAATGTTCAAAGTGTTGCAGTAGAAATTGGTAATATGGCAATGAACAGTAAACTATGAGCTCAGATAATCTCCATCCTCTCAGGACGTGTACCTTGTAGGGGAAGTCAGAGAATAAAATTGACACAGCTAGTTGTCTGGTGATAATTGCGATTGGTTCCATGAAGGAGAACAGTGCAAGAAGCACAGAAAGCAGAGGCACACTTCCTCGGCTTGAAGGCCAAAAGTCCTCCCAGCAAGGGATGTTTAAATTGGAGGAGGAAAAGCTAGAGATTTTAAGGCAAGTAAAGCAACCTGAGGGGAAAACAGCAGAATATCCTTGAGGAACTGTGAGAAGCCAAGCCCTTGCTTGGGCTTCACCGTCTCCAGGAAGCTTTCTTTTGGCTCCCCTAAAAATAGTTTAGATAACTCCTCAGAGATGCAATGACAGTCACAGTTTCAGCAATGCCCTGTGTTTCTCTCACTGTAATATAATTATATGTGACGCGTCCATCTGTCTTCCTGTCGAGACCAGAAGCTTCTAAAAGAGCAATCATCTTTTAAAGTTCCAGTATTTAATAGTGCATGATATATATTAATTGAATGAAACAAATAATAAATCAATTGATCTTAGCTTCTGCTAACAGTAGCTATTAAAACAGCAAGAAACTCAAAATTATACAATTAGATACATGTCTGAAGTAAAGCTAATTCTTTTAGCCAAGTGAGTACCGGCCTTGATTGTCACAAGCAGCCTGACTGGGGACGAGCTTTCCTCTGCTTCCCAGGGTAGGTCAAGGAAGACACGGGCAGCCGGGCAGCCGTAACGGGGGTTTTCTTAAAACAACATTAGCAGCAGCGGCAGTAGCAGCAGCAACAACGAAATTGTGTTTGATTCTTTTGACACATGGATGAATGCCCAGCTATATTTCTACTTTTCAATATACCACTGGTTCCATAACCCAGAAATATTCTAGGCAAGTGCTCTACCATTGAGCTACATCCTCAGCCCCAACTGGGTAATAGTCTAAAAAAATATTGAGAAAGGTGCCCATTTTTAAAATTTTCAAGTAATATTAAGAAAACTGATTCTGCTAGTTTCAACAAGTCATTTAAAAAGGAGCAAAAATGAAAAAACCCACAAGGGAATTCTTTGGCTTGTTCACTATATTGTGGTTGTTAGCATTATCCTGGGACCCAGTGAAATTAGTTTGAGGACTCTGCAATGACAGGAATGCAGAGCATGGATCTCAGAGGAGGGGGCCTTTGTTCACCAGAGTGACCTCAGGGACAGAGCTTCCTAGCTCTGAGTCCAGAGGGACCAGAAGTTGAACCATTTAGACTTGAAATCCATTTGAAGGAATTTTCTTCAACAAATGTTTAAAAGCCATTGGATAATATAGATCCTTGAATGAAGCACTGCATTTTCAGTTTGTAAATACAAGTTTTGCTATGAACCGGTCTCATTTGAAAAATGATGCTTTTGTCTCACAGATCTAGAGAAATCATTCCTAAAATTCATATGGAACCAGAAGAGACCTAGAATAGCAAAGGCAATTCTGGGCGACAAAAGCAAGGCAGGAGGCATCATAATCCCTGACTTGAAGTTATATGACAAAGGTACTGAGATAATATCAGCACGGTAACAAAACAGACCTGAAGATCAATGAACTACATTAGAGATAGAGTCACAACTACAAATACACTCAGCCACCTTATCTTCAACAAGGGGGCCAAACAAGTTCACTGGAAGAAAGATAGCCTCTTTAATAAGTGGTGCTGAGAAAACTGGCTTTCCATATGCCCCAAACTAGAACTAGATCAGTGTCTACCACCATGCACTAAACTAAAGTCAAAATGAATCAAAGATCTAAATATTAAAACAGAAACACTAAACCTACTGAAAGACAAAGCAGGTAGAAATCTTGAAGATGTAGGGGTGGATAAAGAGTTCATGAACAAAAATCACACTGCACGGGAAATACTTCCCAGAATCAACAACTGGGATCTTGTCTTACTAAAAAGTTTTTGCATGTCAAAGGAAATCTCCAACAGAGTGAAAAGAAAACCCCCAAATTATGAAAACATCTTAGGCAACTCTTCCTCAGAAAAAGGACTTCTATCTAGAACATATAGAGAAGTTAAAAAGATCAGGCTCCCAAAATCCAAAGACCCAATACAAAAATGGGCATCTGAGATGCATATACACTTTTCAGATGAAGAAATACAAATGGCAAATAAGTATATGAAAAAATTTCAGCATCCCTGGTCATTACAGAAATGCAAATTAAAACAATGCTGAGATTCCATCTCACCCCAGAAAGAATGGCCAAGATCAAGAAATCAACCAATAACAAATGCCTGAGGGGCTTTGGGAAAAAAGGAACTCTTCTCCACTGATGGTGGGAGAGTCAGCTGGTGCAATCACTGTGGAAATCAGTGTGAAGATTCCTCAAAAAGCTAGGAGTAAAGGTTCCATTTGACCCAGCTCTCTTGCTTCTGGGTATTTTTCCAAAAGAACTGAAAACATCATACCACAGTGACATATGTGCACCCATGTTTGTAGCAGCACAATTTATAATAGCCACTTCTTGGAAACAACCCAAATGCCCACCAACAGAGGCATGGATAAAAAACATATGCTATTTTTATACAATAGTGTACTACTCAGCTATAGAGAAGGGTTACGTTGAGACTTTTATAGGAAAATGGATGACTTGAGACCATACTCATAAGTGAAATAAATCAGAGTCACATGTGTAAATACCATATTGTCTCTCCTAGTATAAGAAACTGAAAGAGTAAATAAGATCCAAAATCTACAATAGATATTGTGAAAGGGTAAGAAACTACTCAATTGGAAAAAATAACTGGGATAGGGGAAAAGAGAAAAGAAGGAAGGGGAAAAGAAAAAAATGTAAATTTGTTTATATGTACATAAAATAGCTAAGATGATTAGACTACTAATTCTATTAGTTCTTGGAAAAGAACAGTTAATGCTCATATGATTGGATCAATTTTGCATGTCTATATCTGGTAATCCAAGCAACTCTTTTGAAGAAAACAATATGCAGAATTATAATCATTATTAAATTTCCCTTATCTTGTTTTGAAAGCCTATATTTTATTATTCTTTGGGGGTCTTTTTGTTGTTCTTGTAGTTGTTGTTTGTATGTCTCTTGTTTTTTGTTTTTTTCTCTTTAAAATAAAAACAAAAATGATGCTTTGTGACTCAGAATAACTATTGTTTTCTCTACAAAGTGAAAGACTTCCTCTCAAAAGGAGGATTCGGTTCTTAGGGGAGAGAAGTAGGGAAGAACAGTGACTGACCAAGCCTTTGCCCCATAATTGAGGTGCAAAAACCCTGGGTCATTTTAGTAGTTAGTGAATGGAATTCACTGATGTGGATCTTACAACTTTAGCTCCTCTAAGGCTAAAGAGAAATTTCTCTTACACTAGTTTGGACAAAAGAAAAGAAGAGTCCTATTGTCAGTATTCACACTTGCTGGCATTGATTAGAATAACCAGTTTCTATACACTGTAAATCTGTTCTTCTTTAACTAAATTAGGTTGACACAAATGAACAGCTGAGAAGAATAGCCCAAATGAGGATTGTTGAATATGACTACAAACCTGAATTTGCATCTGCAATGGGAATAAACACTGCCCATCAAACAGGTACACACATGAATTTCCTTTTGAATTTTGTATTGTCAACCACTAACGTCTTAATTTCCTCTTACTATGGTGTTTGATAACACTCTGTGCCCTAACTCATCCTCTGTGAAATCCATACTCATTACATTAGGAATTTCTGAATTTAAAGAATTTCTGTGTCATCTTTTCTAACACCTCTATTCCTGCACCTGAATGCTTCCTAGTAGAGTATTCTGAATGTGTTGTTTTTTTCTCCTGGAATCCTATTGCTCATGATGGGGCAGATAGTAGCTCAAACTGGGAGGGGTACACTGGGCAGTTTGGGAACAGAAGAAGCAGCTGAAGGGTAGGTAGGACGATCTAGGAAAGACAAAGTATAAACAAAAAGTTGTTCATTCTCTAACCCAAGAATCCTAAAGAAAGAAGGAATATATAAGGGTCAGAGTCCTCCCATAAGAAAAAAAATCAAGCTAATTCCCTACCTTTCCCTCTATTACAGGAATTTTAAGGTATTTACTCACCCTTTCCAACATTTGTCAGTCTTTAAATAGAAATAGGGGAAAAAACTACACTCCCTCTTTGAATCCTAGAATGGTTCTTAGCTCAAAGTTTCCACTTTGCATAAGATGTATTGTTGATCAAAGTTAAAGCTTTGGAATAAACTCTGTTGCCAACAATGTCTTATGACTAGCAGGGTTACACCTTGACATAGACCTGCCAGGATTTTCTCCCAATGAGTCTTTCTCTGGTTAAGCACTTGGAGTGTTTTGTATATAGGAATGATTGCCCAGGAGGTGCAAGAGATCCTGCCCAGAGCCGTGAGAGAGGTTGGTGATGTCACCTGTGAGAATGGAGAGAAGCTGGAGAACTTCCTCATGGTTGATAAGGTAATAAATCTCTGTATAGATCTCTGTTCTGTGAATAAGCCCTTTCTGTGGTGGCTCAATGAGCTGAAACACCTGCCTGACAAATGCACATAAAAAAGAAAAGATTTCTTCGTCTAGCTGTAAAGTGAGTATATCAATTACAGACACAAAAAAGATGTGTCATAGGAGTGTTCTCATCACAAATGATGCCAACTGTATGAGGTGATGGTGGTTTGGTTCATTGGCTTGATTGTTCCACACTGTATTAAAAAATTATAACATCACTTTGAAGCCTCTTAAATATGCACACCTGTATTTGTCAATATGTAATAAAAAGAAATGTCCCATAGGAGAAAAAGAAAAAGGATTACACAATAATGATTTCACCTCAGCACTGGAGGAAAACTGGCATTGGAAAAGTCCACTTAATATGAATGCTCTTAACACAAAGATTAAAGGCAGCACTGAACAGTGACAAAAACTTTGACTAGACTTCAACTCTAAAAATGTAACTGAAATTTATAAAAATATATATTATGTTGTTTCACAAATTATAAGTATAAAATGTGTTCCTTCTCAATGATTAAAGATAGAATGTGGCCTTTCTTTTTGACCACAGTTTTGGTGAAATTATATTTGATTTTCATAGTATAATCATAAAATGGACCATTTTTATGAAGATATTCATAGGCCTCATTTTTTCCGTAGGGCTCCTCTTAGTTCCTTGATATTCAAATTGTTCCCATTGAAGCAAAGTCCTGATGCCACTAGATTAGCTCCCCTTCCCTGGTCTAAGCCTGTCAGTTTCTTGCTTTTGATACAGTATGTATGATTTGAATAATTTCTTGATATCACATCCATCAATTCTGTGAAAACCTGCATCTTTTGCAAAGGTTGCAAACTCAGTCTGCTGCTGACTTGCTTTACATTGCAGTTTTGTGTTTTGTGCTGAGAGGAAAGCCTGATTGCCATAGGGATTTTGTAGTTGTGGGCAGAGATATCTGCGTGGAGACTATAATTTGTCAGTTCATGGGGGCAGTGCTTTTCAAACTTCAAAGTACACACTCATCACCAGGGATCTTATTAAAATGCAGATTCTGATTCTGCAGCAATAGGGTGAGACCCACGAGGTCCTGCGGTTCTAACTAACCTCCAGATATGCTAGTCTTGCCGACCCTGCAGGACACAAGCCACACTTGAGATAGTGAAACAAACAGTACCTTTTCATATTAGGCACCTCCATCATCCTCTGCAAAGCCTTTATTCACAAAGCACTTCAATGACAGCGTCTTGGAGGCCTGGCGAGTCCTAGGCTGCAAAAGCTGAGCGGTAGAAGCTGACTTACTGCCTTCTTCCCAGAGAACACATCCACACAGAAGGAATTCTTTAATTGCTCTGTGGCAGTCCTAGGGTATCATGTCATTTGTGAGGTAAAGCAGGAGGAATTTATGTACTTATTTTCCAATTTTTTATTGCAGTACAATGCATGCGACATAAAATTTATCATCTAAAACAATGTCAAGTGTGCTGCTCAGTGACAGTAAAGACACAGTGTTATGCAGTTGTCATCACTCTACGTCTTCAGAACTCTTTCCATTTTCTAAAAGTGGAACTTGATGTCCCTTAAATAATAACTTCCTATGCCTCCCTAGCCCTAGCGTCTGGCAAGCAGAATGTTACACTTTCTGTCTGTATGGTTTCGACTGGGGTAAGTGCCTCATGAAAGTGGAATCATACAGTATTTCTTCTTTGTGGCTGGTTTACTTAGCATAATGTCCTCAGGATTCATCCTTGTTGGGTCATATATTAGATTTCCTGCCTTATAAAGGCTGAATAATGCTCCTCTACACGTCTACACTACACTCTACTGGTCCATTTGTGTATTTGTGGTTGCTTTCACATTTTAATAAAATGAATTTTGAATGAAAGTGCTATGAGTGTGGGTATAAATGACACATATATTGAGTCGCTGTTTTCAGCTGTTGGAGGATATATATCCAGGAGTGGAGCCACTGCATTATGTGTGATTTTTTTGTTTTGTTTTGAGGAATTGCCGTTCTGTTTTCCAAAGTGGCTGCAACATTTTATATTCTTACTTTCAATGCTCCAACATTTCAGTTTCTCCACATTCTCACCAATACTTGCTATTTTCTGTGTTTAACTTTTAAAGAGTAGCCATCCAAATGAGTGTGAGGTGATATCTCATTATAGTTTTGCTTTGCATATCCCTAATAGCGATGCTCAGCATCTCTTTATATTTTATTGATAATTTGTGAATCATCTTTGGAGAAATATCTGCTCAAATCCTTTGTCTGTGTTTGAATTGTGTTGTTCTGGTGTTGCTGAGTGTTAGGAATTTTCTGTTTTTCTTTTTTTTTTGGTACCAAGAATTGAACTCAAGACCTCAAGTTTGCCAGGCAGGCACGGGGCCTCTAAATCCCCTGTGGGACAGTATCAGATACATTATTGCAAATATTTTCTCTCATGTGGACGGTCTTTCCATTCTCTCGAGAGTGTTTTTATGTATGGAGTTTTTAAATTTTAATTTGATGTCATCTACTACATTTGTTAGCCTTTGGTAATCATATCCAAAAACAATGATTGCCAAAGGCAATGTTTCTGAAATGTTGATCTATGTTTAAGAGTTTTATGTCTTAAATTTAGGTCTTTAACCTATTTTGAATTAGTGTTAGGTAAGAGTTCAGTTTGATGATGCTGTATGGGAATATGCAGTTTCAACTTTTGTTGAGAGGACTTTTCTTTTCCGATTGAATGGTCTTGGAACACTTGTCAATAAGCATTTGACCATAGCTATAAAAGTTTATTTCTATGTCTGTAATTCCAGCACTAGGGAGACTGAGGCAGGAAGATTGACATGAGTTCAAAGCCAGCCTGGGCTACATAGGCCAGCCAAGGCCATCCTGAATTACAAAGCAAGAAAAGAAAAAGCTTATTTTCAAAAAAAGAAAAACTTATTTCTGGGCTGTCTTTATATTCCACTGATCTCTATATTTATGCCAACATCACACTGTTTTGATTTTTCTAGTTTTATAATAAATGTTGAAATTGGGAAGTATGAGTCCTCTAGTTTTGTTTTTTCCAAGATTTCTTTGACTTTTGTGATTACTAGATCTGAATTTTTCTTTTTTTGCAACAAGCATCATTGTGATTTTGCATTGCCTTTAAAGTATAATTATTTTGAGTAATGTTGACATTGTAATCATATTAAGTTTTTGAATCCATAAACATGGGACATATTTCTATTTACTTATGCTTTCCCTAATTTATTTTCACTACTTTTATAGTGTTTATTGTATAAACCTTTTACACCTTAGTTAAATTAGTACATATTTTATCCTTTGATGCTACTGTAAATAATTTCCTTTTCAGATTATTGTTAGTGTATAAGAAAAGCAATTAATTTTTGTGTGTGACTATGTCTTGCAACCTTGCTGAGAAATTTATTTTTAATAATAGAGTACTGACGTTTCCAGTAAATTACTTTAAAATAAAAAAGGGCATGTTCAAAGTTATTTGTATAGTAAAATCACCCCCACTCTTGCATTTTGCAAGATTCCTGCAGTGAGAGGAAAGGAATGTATAGCCATGAGTCAGCGGGTAGTTGGGGAGTGTGTCACCTGGCTACCAAAGTAGCAGTTAAACACTTTTGGATGTGGCCTTCCCTAGAACTCTTAGGAAAGGAGCGTTCATGAACCATGTGTAGGTCACTCATCTTTCCAGGGCCTTAGGATGGTCATTGTTCAGCAAAGTGATTCATTTCCACCTCTGCCTTGCAGAAGCTTCCCATCCCCAGGTGAGCTGAGTGGGATGGTTGGAGCTATTAGCAGCTGGAGGTCCAAGGGCCACCTCCTTCTCCTAGGAGAGACCTTAACCCAGGCTGGTACCTAGGAAGGCAAACCCAGATGTCTAGGAAGGCAGGAGGGTGATGTTACAGTTCCAGGCAGCCAGTTCAGTGTCACCGGTGGAGAAAACCGTGAAGGTAGAATTCTGTCCATAAATAAGTGAAAGTGGTCAGAGTCCAAACGGGAAAAGTTGTGATTCTCTTTGCAGTGTTATAATCTGTGGAAACATCCTTAAGGCCACAACCTTTTAGGAAAACTGTTATTCCAAAAGCCAGTTGAACAGCTCCACCCTGATGAGGCAGGGAAAGCCCAGCACTGTTCTTTGGATGCCTGCGGTAGACTTCATTTGCTGACCCATCCTCAGCACCACGGGACATCTCTTCCCAGCACCATTAGTGCTCACAGCATCCCCCCTATTCTTACTCATTGGGAATCCAAGGAATTCGCCTCCTGTTGTCCCATGCTCTTTGTTAACTGTGGAATTAGCAAGAGCCCCCTGCTTTCCAGGTCTCCTATTCATTCCCATGGGCACTGTAGTAGCTTTGACTGCCACACCCTGGCGGCTTGTTTTAAGGGATTTTGTTAAGATTTCTGGGCTCCACATACTGTGTAACTGGTAAAGGTCAGATTAAGGTACAGTCTCTCCATTTCTCACTCTGTTTCTCTTCCACCATCGGATCCCTTTTAATTAAAACATTTTCTTAGAGCCTAAAATATGAACTAGACATGCTTGTGACAATGTTGAAATGTTGCTCTCCGTGACTGCTGCATCATTTTCACAAGTGTGTTACAACTTTACACCAAAATAGGAGAAAGAATGGCTGGATCTGTACAGACTGCCTACGTCTTAGCCAGAGTTAGTAGTGTTTGTCTAAGTTGGTACGAGCAGCCTTTCCTCCCTGCCTTAACAGGAGGGATGACCTTGCAAGATAAACATTTTTGATCTTGATAATCTGCTTCTTCTCATAAACCTTTCTTGGTTTCCTCTGCACCAGGGAAAGCTCAGTGGTGGGAGGTAGATTGAGAGGCCAGGGTTGATGCTGAGGATAAGAGACACAGGGCTTTGCCTTTTTAGCTTTTTCATCTATATCTTCACTTGGAAATGTCATTTACTCGTTTCTCCGACTACGTGGGAGTAAGTGGTTATTGTTCTGGGAA